TTCACATTTGGGGTTATAGGATGTGAACTCAGCTTCTTTCATCTAACAGTCTCAGCCCCACCATTATTACCAGGAAGTGGGGGCATGAGTGAGGAGACGGGGCAGTTTTGCCCATGTTAGCTCCCCTGAAGGATTTTGAGGTGTCCTGCTAGACTCTCCTCTCTTTGTTCTGCACCCCAGTACTCCCCTATAATTTCAGTGTTGCCTGGCTTCCTGTGTGCTCAACAATCCTGCTCCCGTGGGGCCTGCTATCCTCCTGTTGGGGACTTGCTCATTGGGAGGACCCGGTTTCTCCGAGCTTCATCTACCTGTGGATTGACCAGACCTGAGACCTACTGCACCCAGCATGGAGAGGTAGGCCCTGCTTCAATGGTTTCCAGGACTGGAGGAAGGCAGGACAGGATGAGCTGGCCATTTGTTCAGTGGGTACTTACAGTGTACTTGGTATAGGTCAAGCCCCATGCACTGTGGGGAGTGGGAGAGTGCTTGAAAAGTATCAGGCCAGATCACTGCTTCTAAGGAATTTACATGTTGATTGATCAAGAGGAAATGTACTCAGAATTAATGGAATAGGTTTTTCTTTCTTCCGCTGCATAAAGTGGGAGTCTTTTCTTAGCTCCTGGGCATGGAAAAGGATAGTTTTTCCTTCTTTTCCTTTCTTTCACTCTCTCCATCTCTCTCTCTCTCTCTCTCTCCTTTCAGTATTGGGGTTTGAACTTAGTTCTCTACCACTTGAGCCACATCTCCAGCTCATTTTGGTTTTATCTTTTTCAGATAAGGGCTCATACTTTTTTTCCCAGGACCAGCTTCATACTGTAATTCTCCTATCTCATTTTCATGACTATAATTCTAGCCATGCACCATTATGTCTAGCCTAAAGGATGGCTTCCAACTCTTGGTACAAATACCCATCTCTTAGGTTTATAGTCTCTAACATGGCATCTTGGGTGGGTAAAGACAAGGCTGGTTGCTCATGGGAGCTGGGATGTGTGCATTGACTGGTGTTCTTACCATGGCATGACTTCACTTGTGCCACAATCCTTCTGTTGCCACCATACTTTTAATATGTGTTGGAGTATGGGTAGACCAGAGCTCACAGGAGAATATATGACAGTAGGCCATAGTTTATTGTGTATGTTTTGCTACTGTCATGTGTAAAGAGCCAATTTACTTATCTGTTAATCTTGGTGGTCCGTATTTTACCAACCCAGGTTAGGTGGAAAATATTCAGACTTGGTAAAAGATATAGATTAGTGCTTGGAGGTTATCAGGGAGGGCCAGAGACTCAGTTGATAAATTGGAAAAGGAGCTGAAACAAATCCAGGAACTAAATGCTTTGGGCTATATCTATTAATGTTGCCTATTAGGCAGTTGGCCTTTCCATAGAGCTGTTGTACTTTTTCTTCCATATTGCCTCTGAACCTTTTTTTGTAGGAACTTTGGTTTTCTTTTCTTCTTAAGTACATGGGGGTCTTTCTTTGTTATTTATTTTTACCAAAGTTGAAATCACCAAAAGTTTGCTCACTATCCTGGTGCCTCATTTTGCTGCCCTCAAAATAGACTTGTACAAGGGAATGGGAGAGGAGTGGTTCACCCTAAGTCTCTGCAGCCTTTGGGGGCAAAGAGAGAGGGAGGGAGTGAAGGTGAGTAAGAGAGATTGATTGTCATGAAGGAGGCTTGGGTTGTCAGTGATTTCCCCCTTCCAGGCTGCCCTTGTCCCTGGAAGGCGGTATTTGATATGGCCTTTGGGCCTCACTGCCCTTCCATTCCCCAGTGTTCTTCTGGCTATTTTTAATCACAGATGGTACTGGTAATGACTTTGGATATGCGGAGTAGAGATGCTGTGGTTTCTGCATCTCACCCACTTGGATGTGGGAAATCCCATTTGACAAGATTGGGTAAGGTGAGGACTCCCTGTGGGTCCAGATTACTCCATAGCATTAGGGAATCAGGGGACCTGGCATAATTAAGCTTTCTAGGCCAACAGCGATTTTAGCTGCCACTCCTCAGTTACTCCCCTCCCCCAAATCAAGTGCCATTGAGCCTATGTCTGAAGGTTTCTGCTCATTCTCTTCCTCAGGCTGACTTGCCTTCTAGAAGTGGGAGCAAAGGAAGATCAGAAGCCCCCATGTTGGCATACATGCTTACTCCCAGACGTGTCTAGACAGCCTCTCCCTTGCTAGGCCTGGGCTTTTGGCATCTCCCTGGACTGCTCTCTGCCTCTCTCAGCTGTCCCCAAGAGCCAAATCCCTTCTCTGCTCTAAGCAGCCCCCTGAGAGCAAAACTGGGTGCTTGCAAAAGAGAAGTCTGGACTTTGGCAACCTTGGGGATGAATAAATCTTAGCTATTTTTCTACTGTGAAAGCTGAGAAGATTTGGTCTTTTTTCTTTTTCTGCAAAGGGAAATAAATCCAGGTAGCCTTTGGAAAGAGTAGGGAATAGGGGCACGTTGGGGTGGTGTGTAATTTCAGGTCTACCATTAACTTGTAGTATGACCTTGGCCAAGAGGCTCTCTTCCCTCTTCCGTGAGTGTTGGCCGAGGTGGTCTTTAAGGTCCCTCCTTTGCTTTATTCTTTAGGAATGAGCTGATTGCTGGCAGTCAGCATCTCTTCTCTGCAATTCACCTCTCTGCTTGTTTCATTTCTCTTTCCTTCTCCCTTATATGCCTAACTTTCTCTGAGCCCACAGCTTCCAACGGTGAAGATACACACTAAAGCCATAGAGACTCCCTTTTAGTCCTCTGTGTGGACGTACCCTGAATCCTTTCTGGGGGATGTAGTGGCTATGTGATAAAAAGTAGGAATTCAGATTTTTTACTGTGTTGAGTTTTGCTTTTAATCTTTATTTTGTTCTTAAATGATATTAAAGGTAACTATCATTTTTAAGCACACATTATGTGTTGAAGGCATCATACTAAGAATTTTAAATGAATTAATTGTTATAATACCTCATGAGAAGCTCTTGTTATTCCCTTTAGCTATAGGAAAGTTTTGGGTGTGTGCTGAATCCTATATTTCTGATAGAAACATTTAATTGTTGGGTTTCTTAAGTGGAGAGGAGGAGGTATACTGAACATCCACAGCTGGAAATGAGGGTGGCATGAGGAAGAGCTGTCTTCCTAGTGCCTACTCCATACCTTTTGACTCCTCACCCCTCTCTACCAGCTCGTACTCCGTGTCTGACCTCCCTTAAGTCAAGGCCCCTGGTTAATGCCTCTGTTCTATTTCCATGCAGGGGTGACATGGTGGGCTCTGAGCCCAGAACAAAATCACCCAGTACCTGCTGCCTGCTGCTGATGTGGCATGAATGAAAGTGCAGTGACCTTTGGACAGTTCTGTCTTACTCTTTCCCCTTCCCACCCCCAATTGTAGCCAGACTTCACAATCTGAGAATTGCAAGAGTCCTGGGGACTCCTTCTAGTTCCAAAATTGCCTCTCCTAGCTCCTGACCTCAAGAAGTGGCTCTTTTTTTTTTTTTTTCTGTAGACCAGACTTAGCCTATTTGTTATTTCTTCTGCCTAATTCATTCTCAGTGGCCGTGTCCTATTGGCCTCAAGGGCTTGCTTCTGTGGATTTTGGATCCACATTGCATCCCTTGCCGCGGACATTGGACTTGGCCAGATTTGCCTCACAGCACCTCCTTTTTACCTCCCCAACTTTACTCTTCTGAGCCTACCTGCTTTGATGAACCATTAACTATCTGGGTTTGGGTCTAGGCTGTTCTTTACCAAAAAGCCCTGAGGCTGCAGTTCTAGCCAGCCTGGCTTTCTTCCTTCTAGCTCTTGGATAACTTCTGGGTTAGCTCTCTGCACTGTTATTCCCTCAGTCTCAAGGCATGAATGAAAATGTGTGTGACTCCTCCCTATTCTCATTCACCTCTGTGTATCCCTGGGCCTCATATGAAAATGGAGCAATGGTAGCACCCACTCCAAGGGCTTGTTGTAAGGTATGTAACAGTACGTGCAAAGTGAAGGCATGGTGCCTGGCAGATGCTAACTGTTCCCTCTGGTCCTGTCCCCTCCTTGCCTCTGGTGGCCATGCAGACCCCATCTGCATATTATACTCCTGAACACTTCTTCCCTGGTCAGGACACACACTCACCGGAAGTCAGTCCATCCTGGGGCCAGCCTACTCTGCCTCCAAGATGACCCCTGCTAATCTGATCTGTGATCTGCAATGGGTGACGGGAGAATCCACAGGAAGTCACGGTCAGTGCAGTCGCTCTGAATTGGGGGTGAAGATTCTTTAGTTTTGGTCATGGTCCTGACACTCAGAAAAGGGCTCTGAGCTTGTGAAGATCATGACTCCTCTCTCTACCACCATTTCCCCATTTAGGAAATGAAGGAGTTTGGTTAGTTGGTCTTTTCTGTTTGCTCAGCTCTGTTGTCTGCCCATTTTTCAGAGACGGCTGGGCTATGTGTACAGCTCTGGGGTTCCACAGTGTCTCTCAAAGCCAGTGCTACAGGGGTTGAGCCACACCCTTCAGTGTTCCCTGGCTCATTTTTCAGAATCAGGGGGTTTTGTGTGGAAGCTTTCCAGCCATGGTCTTTGCTTGAGACATTGTCTGTGATGTGGTGTCTGCTTCAACAAATGCTCTATTTATCTCCAATTCCCTCTCTTTCTAGGGGAAATTTAACTACCCAGTTGTCTTAATAACAGTCTTACACAGCACATTCCTCAGGTTAATTAACTATGTAAACCAAACAGCTGTCATTTTTATCTCTTGCAAAGAAGCTGGGTGCAGTAGCCAGTTGGAGGCTCCCTCCTCCCCAACATATACACAAACACATGTATGTAATCTCACACACACCCATTTGTGCCCACACCAACAACTATTGCTTTCTTTGTTTGGAAATTGTCTGCTTTTTTGACCTCTAGGAAGGCTAATGTGTAGGCAGATGTGTTTGCATACATACTGTACTGTGATCTCTGATTTCTGTCCCTCACCAAAATATTGGATTTCCTGTTTCCTAGAGCTCTGAGAAGGTTTAAAACTTCTAAGGCTCCCACTACTGGGGCTTACTGTTTTGGATAATGCAATGTTGAATTTCTTGTATTAAATGCAAATCACTTTTAGCAAAGGTACTGTGTCAACCCATGATTAACCATTTATACCTCAGCAAGGGTTTATTTATCAAAGTCTTAGCTATGACTTTTGCAAAAGGTCCCAACAGAGTAAGATCAAGGATAAGTCGTTATTGAGGAGATGGAAGAAGATAAAAAGGGTTATTAGAGAGTGGAGAGAGTTGTTATTAAGAGAGAAGGAAAACTTGGATTGGTAGAATCCGAGACTCTAGGGTCCTGGCTGTTCTGTGCTAGGAACTGGTGTTTATAGGACTAAAAGGAGAGAGGAGAGGGGAAAGCTATAATGAGAAGGCTTAGAGACACCTGGATTGCCTCATAACTTCGTTGACCTGACTTCTCACCCCATTGCTCTTTGGGAGAAACCTCTGGGTAATGCCTTGCAGGCTGACCTTGCTTCATTCCCGGCCTAGGCCCTTTGCCTATGGTCATGGCAGGACCTGTAGAAAGCCATTGTTACTGGTGGAAGCTGAAGAAGTTCCAGACACACAAAACAGCTCTGCATTCAGGACTAGGGGATACCTTTGTTTTTGAAAAGGTCAGAGCTAGAATTGAGGCTGCTTTTCTCAAGGTATGGGGGCAGAAAACCAGCTCTAGTTTCTGCAATTTCTAATGGTTCCCAAGTGACCTCTATGTTCGCAGTTAGGTTTGGAGTCAAATGTCTTGGACAAGAATCCTTGTTTCATCCCTTCCTATCTTGATGGGCTTGGACACATTTCTTAAGTTCTCTAAGACTCACTTTCGTAATCTGCTCAATGGAGATACTCACCATTTATAAAATGTAATGTACCTAACACAGAGATTTTGGAGGGATAAAAATGAGATAATATTTATATGCAGTGCTCAGGAGAGAGGCTGGTGTAAGGTAATCATCCTTATGATCAGCTTTAGAAAATGACTTTTCTGAACTTGATTTGGATGGTTAGGGCTGTGGTAAGTTAAGAATTTGTTGAAGATTTCACTTCATGATAAGGAAGAAGATGAAGTTGAAAATGGTTCAAAACACTGTGCCCCTTCTCCTACCCATATCTAGTAGTAGACTCTGACTTTTGACCTACCTTTACCTACAATGTCCATTGACATGGTAATACCAAGGCTTCTGGAATCTAATGTATACTTTGCTGACCCAAGGCCTAGAAGTCTCAGCAAGGTACTCATTAGATCCATTTCCGACTGCCCTCTTTGCTGGGAAGAGACTTTCCCCGGCACAGAAACATCTGGCCAATGTCTTCTTTTTCTCTTGCTTCCTTTGTATACTTGCTGGGAATGTCTTAACTTCTGGGCTGATGATAAGCTGTTAAGGGTGAATTCTAATAGCATGTTAGAACAGGCTGGAACTTCATTATCTCATGAACCCTGCATTTTACCAATAAGACAGCTGATGTCTTTTCTTGAAGGCCCCTGGATCTTTGTTTGTTTGTTTGTTTTGTTTTGGTCTTGGCTTCCTTCTTTTGGCCTTGACTGGTGGCCATGACCCTGACTGTAGCTTCTTAGATGAATGCAGGCAGCCCCCTGGCTCACTCATGGGAGAGAGCTGTGTCATATATAACCAGAGCCTGTCTTCCTGGTTCCCCTAGAATTAGCTCTGTGCTCTTCTCAGGCACAGGGCTTTCATTTGTATGTGCCTTCTTTTTCCAGTCCTCTCCACTATGATTCAGGACCCTGCTGGCCCTTGCTCACTCTTCTGCCCTCCTCCAGCTCTCTGGAAGGTGTTGTCTTCTGGTCAGACTGCTGAGCTTCTAGAAAGCTCCAGGAGAAGGCCTAGCTTTTCCAGCTGGAGAGCAAGCAAAAGCCAAACTGGCTGGAGGCCTGACAGGCTAAATTGATAATAACACTGCATCTCTGAGGTAGCACAGCCAGGAGAATGCTGGCCAAATGACCCCAGAGCAGGAGGCAGCTGCAGCCGAGAGCTGCCATCTCTGGGAGAGTGGGAGGCACATGTAGCATGCACGAGAAGATGAGCTTCCTACTGAGATTCGCACACATTCCCCACAACCCCCGCCCCACCACCCCTGCCCCATACATGCATACTACCCAAAAGCACACAAGAATAAAACAGAGAGGGAAACTGAGGCCCCAAAAGAAGAAATGCACAGGTCGTCTTTACATGGGCTTCTGCCATGAGCTACTCTATTTCAGGCCTCCATCCTACTAGTGTGTTGACAAGCAATGCTACTTAAAATACCTGTCTGAAGTCTGTGGCTTAGCTTGCCTCTAAGGACTAGCTAAATCCCTCTGTTAGCTATGTTACTATGATAAGCAACACATAGTTTTGAAGTGCACGAGGCCATCTCATCTCTCCATCAGTGCCTGTACACGTGTGAGGAGCGTGGAGAAGGTGTGGAGGCCCCCAGCTGTCACTAGGAAGACCGCAGCAGGGCACAGGGTAGTAAGTCCAAGCTGAACACTCTGGAGGTTGTAACTTATTTAGCTTTATAATGCTGCCTATATTCTTGAGTATAAAATTTATATATTCAAGACATAAAAGTTTAAAAATATTAAAAAATAAGAAAGAGGAAAAATTACCTATAATTCTATTATGCAGAGATATTAGGTTGAACTGGCAACTAAAAACATACAGTTGTCATGTGTGTAGGTTAAAAATGGATGAATATCAGCAGTTGCATATGGTTTCACCTAATGTACAGGTATATATCCTTGCAAACATTTTCCATTCCTTTAAAAAGTATATTTGAGGTTATAACGTATTTGCATGTTTATGCTCAACTTTTTTCTTCAAAAAACATTATAATGTAATCATTTCCCTATGCAATTGATTTTTTTTCTCTAAACTGTTTTTTAGTAGTTACATAATATTCCATCATTTGGGAATATCGAGGGCATTTCCGCAGACTGCTCCTTGTCCCATGGCCCAGAGAAAGAGAGAGCCTTGTTCCGGGTGTTATCCTGGCCAGGGAGGACTGGGATCAGCTCCCAGCAGAGCCGTGGGGGGGTGGGGTGGGGTGGGTGACAGGGCACCCGCCAGAAAGCAGCTGGCCCTTGTTCCTCCTCAGAACATGTGCTGAGTGCAGACAGGATGAAGAGTGGAAAAGTTTGCCCCTGAGGCTGAGCAGAGTGTGGAGAAAGACATGCTTACTGCCAGGGACCAAAATAGGTCTGGAGGGGAGTCCGGACTCCAACAAGAGCCTTGTCTTGCCCAGAAAGGATTATGCTAAATACCCAGGTAATTCAGCCAGGGGCACAGCTACTGTCTCTGTGGTAACTGAGCTGGGTTAGCTAGAGAAGCTGGCCCCTCCACCACACCTCCAAAAGGCTCCTTCTGTCATAGGCTTCCCCAAGGTTAGCTTCAGGGTCAGCACACTTCGGGGTCACTCTTTACCACGCTTCCCAGGAGGTTTGTCACTCAGCAGTTTCCAGGCTGAAGTGAGAGGATACCAGGAATGGAGGATGTGCGTGTGCGTGTGTGTGTGTGTGTGTGTGTATGAGAGAAAGAGAGAGAGAGAGAGAGAGAGAGAGAGAGAGAGAGAGAGAGAGAGAGAGAGAGAGAGAGAGAGAGAGAGAGAGAGAGAGAGAGAGAGAGAGAGAGAGAAAGAGAGAGAGAGAGAAAGAGAGAGAGAGAGAGAGAGAAATGGTAAGGGATCCTCTTTGGTGTTGAGCTTGTCGATGAAAAGTCATATTGCCTCTTTGACCCTCAGCTTTTTCATCGGCAAAGACGATACTACTTACTACACATGGTTGCTGTGAAATTTAATATGTTTGCACATTGAAATTGCCTAATACAGTCCTTGATACTTGGTAGGCACTCCATCAATTTTTTTTTTCCAAAGGGTCAGGGTCTCACTATGTTACCCAAGCTGGACCCAAACTCTTGGGTTCAAGCTACCTCTTGCCTCCCAAGTAGCTGGAACTACAGGCCTATCACTTACTATTTTTGTTTGATTACCTCCTTACTCCCTGCCCCTGCTTTTTAAGCTCTCTGAGTACAGGAAGGGTCTATTAACAATGTGAAAGAGAATGGCCAGCATTTATTGAGCATTTACTATTTATCCATTCATTATTTATAGGTACTTTCCTTCTTCTTCTCCTCCTTCTCCCTGTCCTTGTCCCTCTCCTGCCTCCTCCCTCTCTCTTCTCCCACTTCTCTCTTTTTTTGTTGTTGGTGGCAGTACTGGGGTTTGAACTCAAACTCAGAGCCTTCCATTTGCTAAGCAAGGCACTTTTCTAAGCACTGGAAATATGGCAGGGCAAGCTCCTGCCCTCATGGAGTAGACACCCTACAAGGGGAAGGCAGATAATAATAAAAAAAAATGGCAACAAGTAACTTGACAAGACGTGCACAGAATGTCCTTTCTTTTCGTCTTAGCACTCTTTTCCAGTTTCTCCTTAAGGCAATCTTATGTACCAAGATTATGTCATTCACAATCTTATAACTTTTTCCCACTCACAACATTTATTTACTATTCCCTTGCTGTGTGTCAGGAGGGACACAAAGGAATCAAATTAAGAGATGACCAATAGCCCTGCTTTGAGCGATGCATCCTGCTGAGTGTATTGATGGTGTCAGTGGATCCCTGAGTTTAGGATTTCCACTAACCAGAAAATCCCAGGATAGCAGGGAAGAAGCTCATGAGAAGCCCCCCACCCCACAACCTCTACCGTATCTCTCACAGTGGCAGATGAAGTGCTGCAAGTGCGACTCGAGACTGCCCCACAATTACAACAGTCACCGAGTGGAGAATGTGGTTTCATCTTCAGGCCCCATGCGCTGGTGGCAGTCACAGAATGGTGAGGACCTGCCAACTACAGGGGCCCAAACTTGTGGAGGCCCCATAGGCTGGGGGTGGCCGAAGGTGCTCATGATCCCTTTGGGTTTCTATGCTATTCCTATGGCAGTGGGGTGTGGAAGATTGGCAGGTGAAATCTTCTAACTCTACATTTGGGGTCTGATAGATGCTGTAGGCAGAGAGGCTATTGAGATTAAAGAGAGTGTGTATGGGGAGAGAACCACCCTTATTTCACTGTATTTTGTTTCTATGGGTGAACACATGGAAGGAAAGGAGCTTTTAGAACAGATCTGTGTTGAGCAGACAGATCTGAAACCCCTACGGTATTAAGAAGCATCAGGTGATGATGGGGAAGGAATTTGGCCAAGAACAGACAGATCTTGAATAGGTCGCAGAAGTAGAAACACACTGGTGCACTCCTCTCCAAGAGGTAAATCAGAGAATCAAGGTTGGAGAATTTGTGACTTCTCGAGCTAGTCTAGTCCAGGGTCTTCTGCAGAGCTGGGAACATGGGAAGTTTTGGGCCTAAAGTTCCTTCTTTTTGTCTTTCTAGATGTGAGCCCTGTCTCTCTACAGCTGGACCTGGATAGAAGATTGCAGCTTCAGGACATCATGATGGATTTTAAGGTGGGATTCTTGGGGATGAATGTGCATAGGAAAGGGGACCCTGAACCTTGTGGGCTCAAGCCATAGAGGAACACTCTTTTTGTCTCTCTAGGCTCCACAGGCATCACATGCAGGGCAGGCCCCTACACCAAGCTGAGATGGCTCTCACTATGAACCTATATTTTGGTGATGGTAGAGGACCCAGAGAACCTTTTGGATCCATCTTGGTTTTATCATGATTGTATATTATCATTCTCTCTGTATTCCCATCCTTTACTTGTCTAATGCAAATATTGATTCTACTGGACTTGATGGCAGTTATGGTTTGGATGTGTCTCTCCACAGGCTTATGTGTTACAGGCTTAGTACCCAGCTGATGGAGTCAATAATTAAGAGGTGATGGAATTATAGAGGCTCTGACCCAGTCAATGGATTAATCCACTGATGGATTCATTAAAAGATGACCAATAACCCTTTTTTGGTCATAACTTGATAGCATTATTGGGAGGTGATGAAACTTAGAGGTAGGGTCTAATTGGAGGATGTAGGTCTTGGAGAGGAGGTATGTCCTTAGGGCTACGCCTTGCCCCAGGCTTCTAGTCCCACCCCCACCTCATGTCCATCATGAGGTGAGCTGCTTTGCTCCACCATATGCTCCCCACTATTGTATTTACTATTACCTCGTGACCACAGCAAGGAAGCCAGCCAATCTTGGACTGAAACCTCTGAAGCCATAAGCCAAGGTAAATTGCTCCTGTTTTAACTGTCAGGTATTTGTCATGGCCGTGAAAAGTCTGACTAACACAGTTGCTTATTACACAGTTGTGTATTCTTGGTATACTCTATTTTAATAACTTCTTAGATCAGATTGAGTTTAACGAACAGCCAAGAACTCATCCATTCACATGAACAATGCACCTGTGGAGCAGCTCTCTTGATGGCAATCCACTCATTCAGTGCTATTTCTTCTCAAAGCACTTTGACATTATGTCTTAGATTAGCCTTTTGAGATAGCCCTGTGGAGGGAATATTTCATTAGTTTGTGACAGGGCAGTTGTTTTCAGAGAAGACTTGATTTTATTCATTTCACAGAAATAGTCAACTAGTCAAGTCAAGTTCGGTTAATAAGAACTTTGATGATCAGGAGGGATAAGATTTTTAAGAGTTAAACTGAGCTTGGAGTAAAAAGTTATAGGACCTAATTTCTTATATGACTGAAAAAGTTGGCTGCAAGAGCCATGCCCTACGAAAAGGTCAAAGTATTTTGAGAAATGCCAGCATGGTTTGAATAGATGCCCAGTTTCTAACGGTGACAGTTTTGAAGGGCAACATTCACTTAGATACTGCTGAATATTATCACCCATTCATTTACTCATTAATTCTTGCCATACGCATATTGAACACTGATTGTGTGTTAGGCTTGGTGTCAGAGGTTAGGGACGGAAAGATGAGTGAAACTAAGTCGTAATCCTCAAGTAGCTTTTGCCACAGCAGGGAAGACAAAGACCCTGTAGTGAGAGTGTTGTGAGAGATTGGTAAGCAGAGATGCTGGTTGAGCCAGGGCATCTAGCTAAGCTGGCCTTGGGCTATGGGAGAGGTTGTAAGAGAATTCACCCAGAGGAAGGTGACCCTTCATAGGCCAGAAATAGCCAGGTGAAGGGCAACTTCATTCCAGGCAAAGAGAACAGCAAGCACAAAGGCCAGGAGGCAAGAGGCCAGGAAGTATATAAGTAGAGTGGGGGCAAGGGAATGCACGAGGGATCTGGAGGGTAAAATGTGTTTATAGCGATAAGAGGACTACAGACTAGTGTGAAATGAATCTGTAGATATGAATGTATAGGGAGGAGCAAGCTAATGGCTCACTATTCATTCACTAAAGGTATACAAAGCACCTACTCTGTGCTAGGTGCTGGGAGTACAACTGTAATTCAAACAGGCAAGGGAGCCCACAGTCTAATGTGTCTAGTGTACTGGTTTTCCACCAAGAGTAGTTTTGCCCTCCCCGCTTCCCTAGGAGATATTTGGGAAGTTCTGGAGAAATTCTTGTTTGTCACAACTGTGGGTGTGGTATTGACATCTGGTGAGTAGAGGTCAGAGATGCTGCTAACCATGGTACGGTGCACAGGGCAGCCCCTACAACTAAGCTGCCCACTCAGAATATAAACAGTGCCAAGGTTGAGAAATTCTGGTCTAGTGAGAGAAGAATAAAAAGCAGGGAACTGACAAATAAGTAATTGGAGATTGTGGTGATATTTCTGAAGGGAAGAAGATGCTGGAATAGGAAATACTGGAGGTGAGCTGGGCAGGTTGTGGGCAAGTTAAACAGGTATAAAAAAGATCTCCATGCCCTACACTGGTGGCTCACGCCTGTAATCCTAGCTACTCAAGAGGCAGAGATCAGAGGGATCATGGTTCAAAGCTAGCCCTGGGCAAATGGTTCATGAGACCCTATCTTGAAGAAACTCATCACACACGGACACACACACAAAAGTTGGAGGAATGACTCAAGTGGTCAGAGTGCTTGCTTAGCGAGGGTGAGGGCCTGAGTTCAAATCCCAGTGCTGCCAAAGGAAAAAAAAGATCTCCATGAGGAAGTAACATTGAAACTGAGAATAGAAGGTAAGAAGGACCTCATGGGGGAGGAGCATTCCCAGTAGAAGGAAGAGAGGTACAAAGGCTCTGAGGAGGGAATGGATTTGATGTGACTTAGGGCTTGTAGGGATGGAGGTGGCCTAAGATGAGGTGAGGAGGCAGGCAGGACTTGGGATCATAGGGTCTCTTTTCTCATGGCTAGGAGTTTAGATTTTATTTGAGAGTAGTGAGTGTGTTAATCAGCTTTCTATCACTAAGATGAAATACCTGAGATGAGCAACTTAAAAGGAGGGAAGAGTTTATTTTGGCTCACAATTTTAGAGGTTTCGGTCCATAGTCACTTGGTCATGTTGCTTTGGTTTTGTGGTGAGGTTGAACATCATAGTGGGGAGCATGTGCTGGAACAAAGCTACTCACATTGAGAGAGAAAGAGGGAGAGAGAGGGAGAGAGAGAGAGAGAGAGAGGTGAAAGAAGGGCCCAGGTCCCAATATACCCCTCAAGGGCATGCCCACAGCCACCTACTTCCTGTAACTAAGCTCCATCTCCTAAAGTTTCCTCTGCCATCATTTGGGGACTAAGCCTTTTGGGGGGACATTTAAGAGCCACACCATAACATTCTTCCTCTGGCCCCCAAAGGCTCATGTCCACCTCATAATGCAAAAAATGCATTCACTCAGTCCATCTCCTAGAGTCCCCAAAGTCTTAACTGTTCCAGCATTGCCCAAAAAGTCTAAGTCCAAAGTTTCCTCTGAGACTCAAGGCAAACTTTTAGCTGTGAACCACTGTAAAAACAACAAGCATACAAAAAACCAAAATAAACCAAGTTGTATACTTTCTACATACAATGGTGAGAAAGGCACAGAGTAAACATTCCCATTAGAAAAGGGAAAAAATGAGGATATAGAAAGGAGAGATTAGACCAAAGCAAAACCAAAAGTCAGAAGGGCAAACCTGAAACCCTAAAGCTCCATGGTAGGCATGTAGACATACTGTGCCACGTGGGCTGTACACTGGGCAGCCCTCCCGCTATGAACTTACTGGCTGCAACCAACAGTGGGTTGGAGGATTTTTGGTAGAGGAGTGATATGGTCCACGTTGTATTTTATAAAGAAATTCTTTCATTATTGTGGCAAATGTGGCCAAGGTAAGAATGAACAAGGGAAAATCAGATGGAGTCTCCTAGAGAAGTATGACAATGGTGGGTAAGGGGGTGATAAGAGGTGGCACTGAACTGGACAGATGGTCCTGGATCAGAATCTGTTTTGGAGGTTGGGTTTATGAACCTGTAGCGCAAGGAAGTAAATGAAATTGCTGCAGGAAGGAGCAGGAACACAGTATGTCGCATGTCACTCAAGGAACTTGTGTTCTATTTTTAAGCCAGTGCAGATGACAGTGGGTGTCACAATCAAATAACCGTTCAGGAAGATCTCTCTGGTGAACTGAAATAATGGTTTGGAGGACCAGGGCAGAGACTGTGGCAAGAATTCAGATTCAGCATTATTCTAGCCTGAATGAGAGAGAGAGAGGAGAGAGGAGAGAGAGAGAGAGAGAGAGAGAGAGAGAGAGAGAGAGAGAGAGAGAGAGAGAGAGAGAGAGAGAGAGAGAATCCAGAATCCAGGGGGAACAGAATCCTGGGGAAGCCCAGTTCTGCAGTTGGGTCCCCCATGGGTAGGATAAACTACAGTACCTCTCCTCTCCTCTCTTCAGTCACTGAGGGCCCCATCCTGTCTGTGTCTCTGCAGGGTCCCATGCCTGCTGGCATGTTGATTGAGCGTTCCTCAGACTTCGGCAAGACCTGGCGGGTGTACCAGTACCTGGCTGCTGACTGTGCCTCCACATTCCCCAGGGTCCGCCAGGGCCAGCCTCAGAACTGGCAGGATGCTCGGTGCCAGTCCTTGCCACAGAGGCCTAATGGGCACCTAAATGGGGGGAAGGTAGGTAGAGGGAACCCTGAAAAGGCCAGCACAGGGAGAAATCCCCATGTACATACAGTCATGCGGACTCAGGTTGTAGTTTCACTTCTTTTTTCCTTGGCTGAGGTGTGTGCAGAGCAGCTCTCAGGGGAGGGAGGCTCAGAGTGGTGTCTTCCCTGTGGGTGGCGTATCTTCTGCCTCCCGTTCCAGCAGCTTTTCTTGGTTACACCCTTATCCAAGTCAATTCTGTCCACCTGCTCAGAGCCCAAGACTTTTTCCCAATTTGTGGAGGATTGAAGTGAAAATTTTCTGGAATGTGCAAGGGAAGTCACATCTAATGAGTGGTTTCCTTAAAATTTTATAAATAAAAAGCCTAGTCAAAATTGGAGTTGTCCAAGGTTGTGTGGACAGAGTGACCACTATAACCATACATCCTTGGGTTATAGACCCTCTCATTCATCCTGGGGTAATGGAAAATTATCATATCCTGAACCATCATCTGTAGGTAATATATCTTACCAACATTTTTGACCCAGGAAAAATATAAGTTCTTGGGATACTTATATTTTCAATTGGAGAGAAGAGATTGGACAAGGATGTGTGTATATACCACACACACACTCCTAGGATCCTCTGATCATCTGCTCGCCTGGGACAGGTGTCAGACCTCATGTTCATGGTTCATCCCAGTTTTGAGTTGAGAAGGGCCTTGGAGTACCACAGGAGGGTGGGCATAGAATGGAAAGGAAGTCACTGCTGAGCTCAGAGCAGATTCTAGCTACTGATTAGTTCTTCCTTTTTCCCTCTCTGTATAGGTCCAACTTAACCTTATGGATTTAGCATCTGGGATTTCAGCACCTCAAAGTAAAAGAATCCAAGGTCAGTTTGGCTATGCCTCTTGCTCCTGGGACTGTGAGTGGGGAATGAAACAAATTGGAACCCAGGTCATGGAAATTTCTGGTTATCCCTTAGATTTTCAACAGGGTTGAGATTCACTAGTTGCCCTATGTACCCTAAAGTGATATTGTGTGGAGAATGCTGTCAGAAGGTTGGGGGTTGGAGAGGATGAATCTTGATATAACATAAAAAGTGAAGGCAAGAAAAGAGGGCTAAAGATTTTTTTCCTAGGAGACTACTTACTTCTAACTTCCTTCTTTATTTTCCTTTCCCTCTTTGCCGTTGCCCCTCAGAGTTGGGAGACATCACAAACTTGAGAGTCAACTTCACCAGGCTGGCCTCTTTACCCCAGAGGCGCTACCACCCACCCAGTGCCTACTTTGCTGTGTCCCAGCTGCGTCTGCAGGGGAGCTGCTTCTGTCATGGCCATGCTGACAGCTGCTCCCCCAAGCCTGGAGACCCTGCAGGCCCCTCCACTGCTGTGCAGGTGATAGCCCAGGGTGTGGAAGGTGGAGGGGAAGGGGCAGGACCAGGAAAGATCAAAGATGTTCTTGAACTCCTGCGAAGCAGGTTATTCAGCAAAAACCAAAATGAATCTAAGTGAATGCCATTTCAAAAATCAGAATTAGGTAATATTTCTGCAGATGTGCTTTGTGGTTGAAGATTCTAATTTTCAGTTGCATGCAAGTGTATGTGTGGGTGTTGAGGAAGAATTTAAGGCAAGTCTCCTCAATCCCAGTTATACCTTGTAATTATAATGTGTGAATTATTATTTGCAATATTATTATTTGGATATGAAAATATTACTATAAATTTTACTTTCATTGGGACCTAAAGCTACTTGACTGGGCCTCCACCTCTAATATCCTGCCTGAGTTGACAGTCACTGGGCTGGGATTCTAAAGTCTCATCTGATGGTGAGATCTGGGCAAGCGAGCCATCAGTGTTTAGTACACATATGAAGTATACATGGCCCAGTCCAGCCCAGTCAGATTCAGTAGGGATGGGCGGGGTGGAGAAGCTGAGTTAAATTAGCTCCCTAGTGGGTCTCTGTGAACACAGACATGAGGTCCCTGAGTGGAGGAGACAGAGCCTTAGGTGAGGAGGCACAGGGGCCTTTCCTTTGCCTTTTCTAGGGCTTCAGTTCTATCAACATATGGGAGCATGGTGTTGGGCCTAGTGATAGAGGGCCAGAGGAAATCATAGAAGGCAGGCTGAAGAGAAATGAGCAGCAGTTGGCTCTGTTCTTTCCCCTTCAGGGCCAAGTCCTGCCCCAGGCTTCAGAGGGGGCAGAGGGAGGCCCATTTGGAGACCAGTGTTCTATGAGGGCTTATAAGACAAATTCCAAGAGCCCAAGACTGAGTAGGATGGCTGACCTGTGAAGAAGGTTGGGTGCTGATCCTTCGGTGTCTCAGTGACATCACTGATTCCGTTTAAGTGGAAATCAAGTTGCAGCCCTGACTTCAAGTCCTCCTGGTTGTATGGGTGGACAGTGGGATGTGGAAGAGGTAGTGAGTCACCTAGTCTTGGTGGGCCTGCAGTCTGGCAGCACAGTGGAATCATGGATGTCTGGGCTGTGTGCCCTGAGGGTGGGATCAAAGTAGGACTGAGCATTAGTATTTTGAAAAATGTTCTTCAGGTGATTGATTGTTAAGTGCAGCCAGAGTTGAAATGGAATTAGAGAGACCCAAGAGGCCTCATGAAGGAGATGCCATTCTAGCTGGAGTTTCTGGGTAGGATTTTGCTGATGAATACAGAGAGAGGGAATTTTTAGACAGGAAAAACATCAGAAAAGGCCAGAAGATGGGAAAAAAGTAGGGCTTCTACAGGGAGCAGCTGGAAGTTCTGCAGGGAGTAGGAGATAAGAATGGAGCAAACATGGTACAGATCCTTGAATGCCAAGCTGAAGGTGTTAGGCTTAATTTGGAAGGCAGTTAGCACACAATAGCTATTCTATTTTTATACTTTAATGAGTCTAGTAACAATTCATCCTAAGAGCCCCATCAGCCAAACAACTTAGTCACATGTTGCTGGGATATTACTCCCCAGAGAGTCCATAGGTCTTCTAGAATTCCACCATCAAGGGTGTGAGCACCTTCCAGGTGTGTCAGGGACTGGGTATGGGGGGGGGTTTGTCAAAGTGCAAGGAGTGCGCTTGTAAGATCCTTGCTAGAGGAGCAGTTCAGGTACACACAGCATACTCACACACATTCTCACACGTGTGTGTGCTAACATACAGAAAGTGATGACAGGCAGGTGAGCTAGTGTTGCAGGAGCTGGGTGAAGGCTGGAGCACCCAGGGATAGTGTCCTGGAAGGGCTGAAGTCTGGGTAGGGCCCTGAATGATGGGCAGAGAGGTCAGAGGGGAGAGGGCAGGTCCACCCCTGGGGCTCTCCAGTGTTAGTTATTCTAATGACCCATGGCCCCTCTCCCAGGTCCATGATATCTGCGCCTGCCAGCACAACACTGCCGGCCCCAACTGTGAGCGCTGTGCACCTTTCTACAACAACCGGCCCTGGAGACCCGCCGAGGGCCAGAACCCCCATGAATGCCAAAGTAGGAGCCTGGAACCACTCCTTCCCTGTAGTGACTGGGTTGGGTACTGATCCTTCTTTGTCTCCGTGACATCACGTGGGACACAGAGGGGGTCTGGCTGTTATTATCCAAAGGGAGATGAAGTTGTGACTCTCTTGGTTATGTGTGTGGGGTGAAGAGATTGGGTGTTGTCTCACACCCCCACTGCCTCTACTTCCTCTTTAGCCAGTTCTGGAGGGGCCAAGGATTGGTCTCTGCTGATGCCACATGGCTTTCATGGTGGTGTCTCCAGAACCTTCTTCCGGCCCCTTCTACTGTTTCAGGTATATTTGGTTCCCTGTTGTCATTTCACCTACTTCAAATGGCCCTCTGGATCAGAGCCTCCATTTGCACAGCCCACAGAGAGACAGTGACCCAGCACATCTGTGGTGGCTGTCGGGGAGGGCTGTGGATTGACTTTTCAAAGGGCTCTCTCTTTGGGCCAACATGGCCCCTGTTCTTAAGTGCATCCCACACTGGAGTCAGAAGGCCTGAGTGCCCATCCACCTTGCTTTCTTCTTGTTATGCAGCCTCAGATAGTTACTCAAGTGTCCCTTGGCCTCTGTTTTGCCATTTCCCTGCCTTGGGCATTTCGCAGAGTTGTTAGTGAAGTGACTGCACTGCATTGGTGCCTGTTGCATAGATGGCACTGGTGCTGGTCAGAGGTCAGCCTTGGGACTCCCCTTTTCCAGGGTGTGATTGCAATGGGCACTCGGAGACCTGTCACTTCGACCCAGCTGTGTTTGCTGCCAGCCAGGGGGCATATGGAGGTGTATGTGACAACTGCCGGGACCACACTGAAGGCAAGAACTGTGAGCGATGTCAGCTGCACTATTTCCAGAACCGACGACCAGGAGCTCCCATTCAGGAGACCTGTATCCGTGAGTAGTACCTTTTGGGACGCAGGTCATCTTCCATCCATTACTCCCTGTTTACTGTGGTGACAAGAGAACACATGTCCCTGGGGACACAAAGGCTATCAGGAAGCATGAAGATTTGGTCATGGGTCAAGACTTGTGGGGATTGTTTTAACTTGCCTATGCACTACTAAGCCAGTCACTTAACCTCTTGGACCATCAATCGACAAGCCAATCAATGTAATCTTTCTTTTGGTCATAGTAGAGGAAAAAAGTAGAGGACAGTTCCTGTCCTTGGATAATATAAAGCAAACAGACATGAAACAGAAGGATAGAAGCATTGTGTCCATGCTTTTGCCCTTACCCTGTTGTTCTAATGTTTATTTTTCTATTTTCCCCAGCATCCAGCACTCCCTATGGCAGGGATTATGTCTTCTATCCTCTGGCCACAGCCCACTGACTCACAAATCACTGATGTTCAAGAAATGTTATTGAGGGTGGGGGATGGTCCAAATAATGTACACACATGTAAATAAATGCAAACATGATACCTGTTGAGACTGTTCCAGGAATCAGGGGAGAGGGGATAAAGAGAGCAGCAGAGGGGTGAATTCAAATATGATATATTTGATACATTGTAAGAACTTTTGCAAATATGCCAATGTACCCCCACCCAGCACAACAATAGACAAGAAAAGAAATACTAATTAAACATATGAACGGACTGGGATGAAACCGTGAGCGATGTTTAAGGTGCCTACAAGGCTGCTGGGTTGGTACAGGAAGAGCACACGGGACTGAAGCAAGTTGATTGAGGAGGGTTTGATCAGGAAAGACCTCCAGGATGAAGGAGTCAAAAGTGTTGAAAGGCAGGAAAGAAGCAGGGAGCAGAGAGGGGAAAGCTGGGTCACTTCCTGCGGATATTGTTTGTTTATGGGAATGAACTTGACTTTGACCCCTCTCTCCAGCAGTTACTTGCAATGTGATCTTAAGTAAGTTCTTTAATATTTCCAAGCCTCAGTTTCCTTATCTGTACAACGATCGTCACCTTTCAAGGTTATCATGAAGATTGCATAAGGCACCAAAGCCAGTGCCTGGTTCAAGGCATGTCTCATAGTGCTCAGTAAATAACAACAAAGTATATCTGTAGTACTTCCATGTGCCAGCTACTGTCCCATCTGGTTTATATTTACTCATTATTTTCCCATTTGACACGTTAGGAAACAGAGGCACAGAGAGGTTAAGTTCTTGCAGAGGTTGGCAGGTTGAAAGCCCGTGGTGGAACAAGGATTTGAACCACAGTCTGATTCCTAGAATCTGATCTGAACTTTCAACTTTACTTTATTCCTACCATGATGGTTGATTTCGGCTCTCAGCTTGCGAGTGTGACCCAGATGGGGCAGTTCCAGGGGCTCCCTGTGACCCAGTGACCGGCCAGTGTGTGTGCAAGGAGAATGTACAGGGAGAGCGCTGTGACCTGTGCAAGCCCAGCTTCACTGGACTTACTTATGCCAACCCACAGGGCTGCCACCGTGAGTAGAGGCCCCAGCTTGTCATGGTGTGGGGCAGGCTGCATGGGGACACCAGCCTGAGGCTTTCCCAGATCACAGAGGGACCCCCTCCCCACCACTTCAGGGTAAACAATGGGGATGTGCCTGGCATTGCTTTGCCTGGAATTCTGATTTCTTATTTTCCCCTGCACTTGGAGGCGTGCCACTGCTCTCCAGCAGGTGGCAGCACAGGCCTGGGCTGAGTGTTGGGACTGAGTCAGCCAGAGCAAGGGTGGGCAGGAGAGAGCAGTCAAGCTGCCAGATGGTTGGGAAGGCACAGTGGCCATGAGTCAGCAATGTTATCCAGAGGGAATGGCCCTGGCCAGTGCTTTTCCCTCCCTCCTAGACATGTGTCTTCTGGGGCTGAGCTTTCTGTGGGGTATCTGTCTGAGCCCAGCACCCCTCCCTCCCACAGGCTGTGACTGCAGTGTCCTGGGGGCCCGGCGGGATATGCCCTGTGATGAGGAGAGTGGGCGCTGCCTGTGTCTGCCCAATGTAGTGGGCCCCAAATGTGACCAGTGTGCTCCCTTCCACTGGAAGCTGGCCAGCGGCCGAGGCTGTGAACCATGTGCCTGTGACCCGCACAACTCCCTCAGTCCCCAGTGCAACCAGGTATGAGGTGGGGGTGGACCCGGGGACCTTCAGCAGCAGAGAGCTCCTGTTTACTGATATCTCTGTCTCACCATCATGCAGCACTCTGGTCTTTCCATAGTCGGTCAGGCCTGTGTCACCTGATGTCCCTCTCTCTGTGGCTCTCAGCCTTGGGCAATGCCTTGTTCACCACACCTTCTGCAGAGTACCTCTGGGCCTTGACCTCGAGGCTGGTCTCTGCTCTGGGAGTCCTTGTTTTACAAGGCTCACCTGTGCTCCAGCCAGCGAGGACTGGATTCTGTGTGTGGAGCAGAGGTCCAGACAGGACCTGGTCTCCAAATAGCAGGGCAAGATAGAGCCTGAGAGGACGGGTTCCCTGAGGGTGTTCTCCCCTGCTCAGTTCACAGGGCAGTGTCCCTGTCGAGAAGGGTTTGGTGGCCTGACGTGCAGTGCTGGAGCTATCCGCCAGTGTCCGGATCGTACGCACGGAGATGTGGCCGTGGGATGCAGAGGTGCGTGCTCTCTGCTTGGGAGAACAAGCGCGTGGATGGGTGTGAGGTGTGGGAGGAGAGACACGTGGTGAGGACTGAGGTCTGTGATATGATCGGACATCCTGGATTAATACGTGTGGTGTCAGCCTGGGCGGCCCCATGAGTACGGTGTCCCCCACACTGCTTGGCTTCCCCACGCTTAGGTCAGTCTAACTGCAGGCTGCTCCCACGTCCCCACATAGGAGGGTTGCCTTGCTTGTCCCTCCCTGAGAAAGAGCATTTCCTACAAGCAGCAGTAGGAGTGGAGGTCATTCATTCCCTCCTAATGATGGAGAAAGTGAGTCCTGAGATGGAAAGGATGCCACTTTCCAAAGAGTCATTTTGATGTAGTGACAAGATCATGGTATGCAGACACAGTTTTGATCTCATCACTTCCCCTTTTTAGACTCAGTTTCTCCTCTGAGGAAGCACACTGTATTCCTCCCTTCTTTGAGGGAGGGAGCAAGCACTGGGGGTGTCTCAGTGGTCTCATTTATAAAAGTGGAAAATAAACATGGTGAGCTTAGGCTGGGTGTAGTGGTCCCTTCCTATAATCCTTGCCACTTGGGAGGTAGAGGTAGGAGGATCAAGGTCCAGGATGGCCCATGCAAAGTGTGAGACCCTATCCAGAAAATAACTATAGCAAAAAAGGCTCGGGGCACACACAAGAGTAGTGGGCTCAGTATGGTTGCAAAGATCAGATGACTTCATGTGAGTGTGACTAAGATTGTGCCTGGCACATGGTGGGCTCTAGATGCTTTCTGTCAACAGCATGGCTTTTGTTTCCAAGTCACACAGGAGGACCTCAGGTCAGACCTTCTTTTTAGGGAACTCCCCACCAGATGCCTTCATCTCCCTGGCCCCTGTCTCTGACTATTATTTCTCCTGGCTCTAGCCTGTGACTGTGACTTCCGGGGAACAGAAGGTCGAGGCTGTGACAAAGTCTCGGGCCGTTGCCTCTGCGGCCCTGGCTTGACTGGGCGTCGCTGTGACCAGTGCCAGCGAGGCTACTGTGACCGCTACCCGGTGTGTGTGGCCTGCCACTCTTGTTTCCAGACCTATGATGCAGACCTCCAGGAGCAGGCTCGGCGCCTTGGCAGTCTGCGAAATGCCACTGCCGGCCTGTGGTCCGGGACAGGTCTGGAGGACCATGGCCTTGCTTCCCGGATACTGGACGCCAAGAGCAAGATTGAGCAGATCCAAGCAATTCTTGGCAGTACCTTGGTCACAGAGCAGGAAGTGGCACAGGTGGCCAACGCCATCTTCTCCATCAGGTAATCCCTTGCCCTGCCAACCAAGTGGGAGGATTATGCTACATGGGTTCATGAAAGGGGCACACGGGTTCTTACTGACATTCATGTGGTCCACTGCAGTTCTTAAAGCGTTTTCACATGTGCTCTTTGTTGATGTCTGCGACAATCCTGGGAGGATGGAATGGCAGCTTGTATTACTTCTGTCTTGCAGATGATACAGGCACAGTTAGGTGATGACAGAGCTCCACAGCCACTAGGGGGCCAGGAGCCCAAACCCAGAGCTCTTTCAAGTGCCCTGTGCTGCCTAGGAGAGTCAGCTCTGGATTAGTCACCCTGGCAGAGGGGAAAGGGTTCTAAAAATAGTTCCAAATTTGCCTTTGGAATGGAAGCAGTCTCACCCACCCCGTCCCACGAGCAGAGGTGCCTTCTTAGTGAGATGAGGTTCTGGAAGCTTCTATAATTAATTTGCACTGGCAGACTGGCAGTGCAGAGCTCTCCAGGTGTGTGGTTGGCAGCAGAGCAATGGCAGCCTGAGAAGCGTGAAGTCCGAGTATCTGTCACTTATGGGGCTGCTAGGGCTTCTTTGGGGGGGTTCAGTAGAGGAACCAGAATGAGTGTTGGGAATCGTTCATTCGTTTATTCACTCCACATGTGTTTTAAAGCATCTAATATGAGTATATGGTGTTGGGGATAATAAAATTAATATCCAGAGGCTCAGGTGGGCCTGCTGACATGTAAACAGTGAAATTAGGTGGCACATGTTGTAAGAGAGCTAAACCTTCCCACAGAATGTAATTCTGTCAGGCTTCACAGGGGAGGTGCCTGTTGACCTCAAAAAATTGGAGTCTGTCCATAAGCAGTTAACTGGGAATGTCAGCATGGAGTGGCAGGCCATGAAAGGGTGTTCCATGCCTGAGCCCAAAGGTCAGGGTCCTGAGGCTCCTTTAGGTGGGCATAACTGGTGGGCAGGAGATGGGGGCTGGAGCTCAGTGGGGTGGTGTGGGCTACAGAAGAAATGTGGGAGCCACTGCTGTACCTGGGTAGCTGAAGTCAGCCTGAAAAGAGCCAGGAGGAGCAAGGCAGGCCAGGGTTCCTCGCTGGGGAGAAGGGGGAGGTGGAGAATTGGGAATGTTAGGTTCACAGAAACCAAGCAAAGAAAGCATTTCATGCACCTGCCTGCAGAGTGATGGAGGGAGGCCGTGCAAACTGACCTAGTTCTTCCCTGCCTCTGCCCAGCAGAACCTCTGCAGCCCGTGGCTTCTCCCATCCTTTCTCCACGGGCAGCTGTTTTTCCTGAACTCAGCAGTGGCTCCTCCAAGAGGAGGCTGGAGTCCCCTCCTATATTTTAGCTAATGCTCTTTTCCCATCTCAGGCGGACTCTCCAGGGCTTGCAGCTGGACCTACCCATGGAGGAAGAGATTGTTTCGTTCCCTGGAGACCTGGAGAGTCTGGACAGAAGCTTCAGTCGCCTCCTTGTTATGTATCAGAGCAAGAGGGAGCAGTTTGAGAAAATAAGCAGTGCTGACCCTTCAGGTGAGAGAAGGGGACATGGCCATGGTATGCCCCGCCCCCTCTCCTCTTCTGCTCCTCCCCACTGCCTGGTGTCCAGGGCCAGGGCAAGCTCCATCCACACTCTTCTTCCTTCAGGAGCCTTCCGCATGCTGACCACAGCCTATGAGCGGTCGTCCCAGGCTGCTCAGCAGGTGTCCGACAGCTCCCACTTGCTGCGCCAGCTTAGGGACAGCCGCAGAGAGGCAGAGGAGTTACAGAGGCAGGCCGGAATGGGTGCTGGTAGCCCCCAGCTCTCCACCCTGAGGTTACAGATGGCTTCCTTGCCTGACCTGACACCCACCATCAACAAGGTGACTCAGGGCATGGGAGTCTACTTCCTGGAGCCCCTGCCCAGGTTGTCACACATCAACTGCTGCCGCGTGTTTCCTATTAGGACAGACCTGCCCTAGTGAGAACCTACCTGATTCATCCTGACCCTTGTACCCCTCACTGTGTGCTCAGAGGTTGCCAAGGAAACACATTTCTGGTGCCTGGTTGTCATGGAGATGCCTGGCTGTTTGTTTCCTGGTGTGGGATGGGAGTGGTTGTTGAGGAGCCTCTTTGACACCCCCATCTCTCTACAGGTCTGTGGTGGCTCCAGGCAGATGGCCTGCACTCCAGGAGCATGCCCTGGTGAGCTGTGTCCCCAAGATAATGGCACGACCTGTGGCTCCCACTGCAGGGGTGCTCTCCCCAGGGCTGGAGGGGCCTTCTGGATGGCGGGGCAAGTGGCTGAACAGCTGCGTAGCTTCAACTCCCAGCTCCAGCAGACCAGGCAGATGGTAGGTCCAGTGGAGGTGGGGTGGACACAGGTAGAATGAGGCAGAGGGCACAGAGCCCTTCAGGCAATTCAGAGCTCCTGCTTTTACAGTGAGGAGACTAAAACTCAGAGATAGTAGATGACTTGCCTGAGGGCTCCACACCAAGTGCAAGATAGAATTTGGAGATTGGGCTTTTTTTTTTAAACACAACATGTACACCATTCTTCTAGGGTCAAACTGGGTTGGTTACAAATGCTTCATAGATAGGTGTTAAGGTAGAGGGTGACTCCACAATCCTGGGGGGCTGCCGAGAGGCCCCTTGGGGGCTGTCCCCCTTTGTGACTCATAGTGTGTGTCAACAGATTAGGGCAGCTGAAGAAGCTGCCTCTCAGGTCCAATCAGATGCTCAGCGCCTGGAGAGCCAGGTGAGCACCAGCCGCTCCCAGATGGAAGAAGATGTCAGACGCACACGCCTCCTCATCCAGCAGGTCCGGGACTTCCTCACTGGTGAGCTGGTCTTGCGTCCCCTCTGTTGATGTTCCTGCTCCTGCATGTCCTGCATTCCCAGGTCCAGTTCATCAGCCCACCTTCTGCTGCCCTCATCTGCATGCCTGCCACCACCCTTTGTTTGGCCCACCCCTCCCTGCCTGCTCCATGTGATCCATTCTCCATCGAACAGCCTGAAGCCTGAAACACCTCTTCAAAATATATCTAAGTCCGATCACATTGCACTCCTGCTTAATATCCTTCAATGGCTTCACCTTGTTCTTGGATAAACTCCCAGGTCCTTTCTTGGCCTACGAAGTCTGGCACCCGTCCATCTCTTGGTGTGACCTTGTGCTCCTCTTTCCTTCCCTCACTGGATGTCCTTGAACATGTCAGACTCTTGCCTGCTTCAGGGACTTTAATTTGCTCTTTGCCTGCCTGGGATTCTCTTTCCAAGGCTGCTGTGTCTTGTCCTCCAGGTCTCAGTTATAATGTCACCTCCCCTAGAGAGGCCTTTCCTGACCTCTTTATCTATGGACATCCCCTTTCCTTCCCATTCTCCTTTGGAGTTGTAACTTCATGGCACTGCTAAGTCTCTATGGTTCTTGGGTTCCTCTGTGAATGTGCTGTGTGTCTCCCCAGGAGACTCCAAGAGGGCAGGGATGGTTGTCAGTCTTATTTACAGCTAAATCTCCAGCACCTAGCCCAAGGCCAACCCAGGAAGCATCCCACTCTAGTGCAATGAATGGATGGACGCTATTCCCCGCCCTTGCTCCTGGAGAGTGAGACAGGACTCAGGGGCCATGTACAACTTTGGCAGCTTCTGTTTTTCTTTGCCTCATCTTTCCCTTGCAGACAGGGATGGTAGTATTTCACAAGTTTATTCTGAGGATCAAACGGCTGATGTAAAAAGTGCTTTGAAAAATTAAAGGTGCCTCCAGAATGTGAGTTGATATTATGAAATTTCTGGTCCCTGCCAGGGAATTTGCTTGGCTGGGAGCCCAGTTAATATGGCTGAGGGTTTGGTGTAGCAGTGACTCTTCTTGCTACTATTGCTGTGGTTTTGCCCCACACAGGCCAAAGCTCTTTCCTGAGTGTAGATAGCAAGGCCAATGACTTGCTTAAGGCCATGCGGTCCCTCTGGGGGAAAATGTTACTGGAGAAGCAGGAAGATGGTGCCCAACACATAAGGATGAAGGGACAGGCCAAGGTTTGGGGATCAGACTCAGGCAAGGGCGGCTTGTCCCCAAGTCAAGCCCAGGGAGGCTGAATGACAATTTATCCTGTATTAACCTGTCCAGGGCAAGGGCCTCAGGGGTAAAGGGGGTTGGGTTTCTCTCCTTGTGGGGCAGCCCAGGCTCACAGGAACATGCAGGGAGTGGTCTATCTCACTCATGCTGCCTTTAAGGTCAAGTCCTGTGATGGGTCCAGGGCCACAGGGAAGGAGCAGAGCCTGAGAGAGACCTGGCCATGGGGAGAATCCATGAAGATTCTCACAGTACTGTAACAGTAGGCTCTAGTCTCTGAGACCCGTTATCAGAGGGGCCTGTGGTGCTGACTGCTGTTGGCATGCAGGGTCACAGCAGGCGAGGGAGAGTGGCAGGTCTACCGGGGAGGACATTAACATTGCCTTTACTAGTTCTCCAGATGGAATCCATCAAACTAATAGTTAGTGTTTATTAAGTTCACAATAAGTGTGGGGCACTTCTAAGTGCTTTGCATGTATTGCGTTATTTAATCCTGGGTACCTGAGCTAAGCACTATTATTATTTCTATTTTGCATATAAGGAATCTAGACACAGAGAGGTTAAGCAGCCTGTCTAAGGGTATCCAGCTAGAGGTGATGCAGGTAGGACTCAAGCCCAATGATCTTACTCTATTGTCCACAAACTACATTATTGCCTCATGGTATGGACACAAACACACACAGTTTGTTAATGTTTTCCTCTCTCTAGGTCCCCCCCCACACCTCTTCTGACCTGGTTAATTCCTGCTCATCCTCTGAGAAGCCCCCGAAGTTATCCCACTCTCCTCCAGGAAGCCTCCCTGGACCTGTCACCTGGGGGAGGTGCTCCTCCAGTGCCATCCTCGCACCTGGGCTTACCCTGGACTTTTATTCATACATTATTATGCTTCCTTGTTTACAAACCTGTCTCACTAGATTTTGAACTTCCCAAGCACAGGGACATCATCTAATTTGATTTTGCAGCCTTAATTCCTCGCATGCTGTTGTGCGAGCAGTAAATATTTACTAAGCCCATTCTAAGCCTCAGAAGACCTATAACTGAATGTATTGCAGACCCAGCCTGTGCCTGCAGCTGAAGTTTTCTGCAGAAAACAGGAATGCCAAAGCAGGGCAGTGATAGGCTCATCCTTGTGGTGGGAGGCTTTCTGGGGAAGGTGTTTATTAAACTCTGTTTGGAAGCAGGACTCCAGGTTAGAGGTGTGGCTGATGTCTGGGTGGGCAGGTGTGATGAGCCCTCTTAGTTAAACTCAGCTAGTTTTGTCTTGAGCTTCTGCTGTGTGCTGCTGCAGAATGGCCGGAGGGACATAGCAATGGCCAGGCCTGTCTCCCACCTGGCATGGGGAGGGGCTGGGGATGGGATCTAGATAGCCAGTTGGTGAGTACACCCTCTGGTAGTGAAGCATGGGCAAATCATCTGGGTTAGTGCTTCCTTCCCAAACACTTCCATACCAGAGAAATCTATAAAAGCAAATAGGGAGACATGGGGAGATGTCATCTCTGTACTTCTGACCTTACTCTCTGACTCAGTATTGGTTTGTAAAAACTCTTGCTAATTGATTATTACATGTCACACCTTTAGGTCGGGGATCATTAGTTCCATTTTATAGATCAGGATGGGACCCTGATCACTTGACTGGTCCCAGGTGGCTTGAATAGGAAAGCAAAACCTGGATCTAGAGAGCCCTGTCAATCATTCATTTACTCTTAAAACACCAAGGACCTCCGAGTGCCCGGCACTGTGCTGGGGTCTGCAGAGATAGCTGTGGACAAAGCCCACACCCTGTTTTCATGAAGCTTACATTTTAGTGGGAAAAGAGACAAAACCCAGATAAACAAGGCCAGTGTTCCCATGTGGGTGGTGTTAAGTGCTGGGGAGAAAGATGAAGCAAGGATGGAGAATGAGGAGGCCCAGTCTAGGGTGAATGGAAGATGCAGTTCTCCATTCGATGAGAAGGTGACATTCCTGCAAAGAATGATAATCCTTATCTGCCTTTGCAGACATGAGCGCTCAACATGGTGTGCAGAGAAGGGGTCTTATTGCCAAGGAAGCAGCTCTAGTGCCTGGTCACTCCCCCCAATTTGGGGCTGATTATGTGTATGCTGCAGGCATTGTTCAGTACCAGCTGCTTGGCACCACCTCCTCCTCCGGGCCCTGCAGCTTCCTGTGGCACTAGACACTTAGCTGCCACAGCTGTGCTGACACTCCTCCTCCCCACAGCACTGAGCATAGGACAATCATTCTCCTACAGCATTTCCGGAAACTCCCAGAGAATCAGCGTGGCCCCTGAGCACTGCTCAGCCTGGAGGGGCTGCTGGTCCTGAGGGAGGTGAGTGGGCTTCCTCAGTCTGATGGATGGATGGCTGTCTTCCAGATCCTGACACAGATGCAGCCACTATCCAGGAGGTCAGTGAGGCCGTGCTGGCCCTGTGGCTACCCACAGACTCGGCCACAGTTTTGCGGAAGATGAAAGAGATCCAGGCCATCGCAGCCAGGCTCCCCAACGTGGACCTGGTGCTATCCCAGACCAAGCAGGACATTGCACAGGCTCGCAGGCTCCAGGCTGAGGCTGAGGAGGCCAGGTATGACATGGGCCCTCAATTCCTCCCTGCTCGGGATTGGGCTGATGCTTTGCTTCCCAACCCTGTCATTAGGAAAGGGGTGTAGAGGGTGGAATACAGAAAGAGGTGCTTATCACGGTGGGGGATGGTGTAATCTGCAGAGTCTGGATTACACTTCACTCACATGACCCTGTGTTCCATATGGGCAACTGTGCCCAGAGGTGTCTCCAGCATCACTCACTGAGCATGTCTGCTTGGTGGAGTTCTGGAAGTAAGAGCTGCTGAGCATCCCTAATACTCCCCTTGCTCTTATCTTGGCTGGGAATGGTATTTTTCTGGGGGTGTGTGAGTTGAATCAGACACTCGTTCATTCACTGTTCACTCATTCTCTCTCCCCTTCTCCTTCCTCTTTAACTCACTCAGGAGCCGAGCCCATGCGGTGGAAGGCCAGGTAGACGATGTGGTTGGGAACCTCCGACAGGGCACAGTGGCACTGCAAGAAGCTCAGGACACCATGCAAGGCACTAGTCGCTCCCTTCGGCTTATCCAGGACAGGGTTGCTGAGGTGAGGTTTTATGACTTCCTCCCCTCCATATTTGGGAATGAACAGATTTAGGCATGAGGGATAGAAGATTCCAGAATGTTACCCAATTGGAAACTGAGCTGGAGGTCTAGAAAAGGCCCGGCTTGGAACCTTGGACTGTTCTATCCATGCAGAAGGCAAGGGTGGACTCTGAGATACGGCAGGGGTGGAGTCAGGCTGGAGAAGGAGGAGGCCTGGATGTCAGTGAACAGGAAGGTGTTTGGGAGGGGACCGTTGTGAAGTCCTGGTTGGAGAGATATTTTTATTGCCTGAAGACTGGGAGAAAAGCTGGGGGAAGAAGACCACTTGCTGCTATATCCCCAGATTCCTCTCTCTTTCCACAAAGGTTCAGCAGGTCCTGGGGCCAGCAGAAATCTTGGTGATGGGCATGACAGAACAGCTGGGAGGCTTCCGAGTACGGATGGAGGAGCTCCGCCGCCAAGCCCAGCAGCAGCGGGGACAGGCAGCCCAGGCCCAGCAGCTTGCAGAGGGTGCCAACGAGAGGGCACTGAGTGCCCGGGAGGTACAGAGAGTGCAGAGTTAGCCCAATGTTGCATAGTCAGAGGGGGGTCCTGAGCAGGATGGACTTTGCACACTTTATAAGACCATGGGCTCTAAGTCACATGGAGTAACAGAACCAGAAGTGGCTTCTGCATGAACCCAGTCATAGCCAGGCATCTGAATTCCATCATGGCTGCCTCTGGGGTAGCTGGGCCAGGGACATGGAAGATGTTCTAGCTCAGATGCTCTCCTTTTACAGATGAGATTGTGACTTGTCCCCAGGCTCAAAGCTCATTTACAAAGCACATCTCTTGACACCTGATCTGGAGTTTGTCTCCTCAGTCCCCAGCTTGGCTAGACACTCTTAGCTTAGACAGACACCCTGGGCTCCATCACAATCAGAATTTGATTAGAGATCAAAGAGCTGTTCTTAGTGCTTCAAGTGTGCTACCTGCTTCCTCCAGGGTCAGGAACAGGCATGGGCAATTTTGGTTGCCAAGTTGCCAAAAATGCTCTTAAGTGACACCTTAATATTCACCTACTGTTACGGGGTTGAAGTGTGCTTGAAGTGAGGTGGGAAGTGACAGAGCCTAGAGATGGAAGGAGGGAGATCCAGAATTTTAAGACATCACCTGGGTTAGGCAAACCCAGCCCTTTAAGGAATAATAGGAGGCACCTTATCGCTGTGTGCTGATTTGAATGATGTCAAGTGCTTTAGCCACAGGTTTTTGGGATGGATGATGGTGGTGACAACACTGAGACTGGTCTGTCTTTTCCAGGGATTTGAGAGAATAAAGCAAAAGTATGCAGAGCTGAAGGACCGGCTGGGTCGGAGTCCCATGCTGGGTGAGCAGAGCAGCAGAATCCTGAGTGTCAAGACAGAGGCAGAGGAGCTGTTTGGGGAGACCATGGAGATGATGGACAGGATGAAAGGTGAGGGACGGCTGGGTGCATGGACCGTTGGGCATCCCTAAAGGCTGATGGTCCCCTCCCAGGGCTCCTGAGGCCCATTCTTTTTGGAGCAGCAGTGCTAAGGCAGTGAGATCAATCGGAATTTACCTCTCGTATGTGGGGAATGCAGACCTGTTCACGTGACATGGCATGGCCTACGCTGAGAAAGCTCACAATTCAGCTGAAGCCATTTTCCCCATTACCTGTAAGATGCATGAAACTCTATTTAACAACACAAGGTGGTCTGTGATAAGGGATGAATAATAAGAGATCTAGGGGTTCAGAGAGAAATGGTCAATGAAAGAAAAGTTCAGAAAGATAGAATTTGAGGTGGGCCTGCGAGGAAATGTAGGCCCGCAAGAGCTATGAGGAAGAGGAAGGACATCAAGACACGGGTGATGAGAAGGAATGAAGCATACTCTGAGGATGGGGACAGGATTCATCTCCATGAGAAAAGGGGTGATGAAGAACCAGTGGGAGAGAAGTAGCATAACTCCACATGGTGGGGTCCATGTAGCTGGGCTCCAAGGCCCAGATGAAGACGATAGATTTGCTCCTGCTGATGTAAGGAACCATCCAAGGTTTTGAATATGGTGGAGGCATAATAGTAGCTTTTGAGAAGGTTCTAAGGTTTCCTCAGAAAGAGGAGTAGGGGTTTCTAGAAACCAGTTAATCACTAGTATTTGATGATAGTATTGTTGAACTAGAGAGTACAGTGAATGCCATAAACTTTCTGAATTTAGCCAGAGTGGTTGTCAAAAATCTTACCAGGTAACCAGGTAGACACCATAAAGACGGTTGGGTTGGTGGGTTCCTAATGAATAGATGTGAGGTTATGGCCACCTCAAAAATAAGGCAAAAAGGACTGACTTTAAGGAAGTAGCCCAGTAACTGGTTCAGTTCTTGACCACTGATGCTTTGAATAAAGATAAAGAATTTGTTTATCAAATCTGAGGGTGACAGACAGTCAATACATCAGAAAACAGACTCATTATTCTAAGAGAATTACAAAAGCCTAGATGGGCTGAAGCCAACCAGACCAGTTTAAATAAGAAGAAGAGTTACCCTGGCCATGTTTGTAACCCACAAATACAGCTCAGGTGAGGCTGGCTTCTTAGTGGCTCTGTCACTGCAAATACTTTATAACTGGTAAGTGATAGGCAAATACAAGTTGTTATTTACCTGAAAAGGACCCAAGAGTTTTGATTAACTGCAAGCTGATTATAAGCCAGCAATGTCTTGCTACTGCCCAAAGCATTAATAAATACAAAGAAGACAGAGTAAGGGGAGTAATAGCTCAGGGGTGATCTTAAAACGATTTAGCACCTGGCATGCCATGTGCCACCAACCAGGAAAGGCTCAGCTTGTAGCATTTACCCACTTTTAGGAATTTACCTTAAATTGGAGGATAATGGGGAGGATACAGAATAGCAGCTTTTCCAAGCCAAAATCCTTCCCCACTTTCCCGCCCTAAAATGCGACTCCAAATAAACTTTGCCCTACCCTGGCCATCCTGTTATCACCTCCAGTTTAGACATGAAGGTCTAAGGGACTCCAGAGCAACCCAGTCCATCCTGTCCCCTAGGGACAACCTGAACTTTGTCAGGAATAGGGAGAGGCATGCACTGCTTTACGAGGCTCCAACTTTAGGCAGCTCTGGGTATTTGAAAAGTCTTCTCATGAAGCCAAAATCTGACCAATTCTTGCTTCTATCCATGTTATAGAAATATATCTGCCCTGTTCCCACATGATAGTCCTGCACACTTCTGAGGCTTTATTTTCTCCAGGCTAAAACATCTAGTCCTTATCTGATATAATTTCTGGGTCCCTCCCTTCCTTCCCACCCTGGCCACCTTCATCCTGATGTATGAAGGCTTGCCAATATCCCTTCTGAAGATGCAGTAGCCACCCTTTGAACACTATCCACCAGCAGAGTGTACCAGAATTTTCATTGGGCTGAAATCCAGCCAGTAGGCATCCACATGGACCTCCATGCTGATAAAATATTGAAACATGCCAGGCGCCAGTGGCTCACGCCTGTAATCCTAGCTGCTCAGGAGGCAGAGATTAGGAGGATTACAGTTTGAAGCCAGCCCAGGCAGAGTTTGCAAGACCCTATCTCAAAAAAAACTCATCACAAAAAAAGGGCTGGTGGAGTGGATCAAGATGTAGGCCCTGAGTTCACACTCCACCAAAAAAAAACCCCAAAACCACTGATGGGATGGTAGCTGATGGGGTCCAACAGCACTGTGTCACAAAGCTTGGTGTGTTGCAAGTCTGCTTGTTTTTCTAAGAGTGGGATAGGGACTGGAGAGGTATGTAGCCCCTGCCTCAGAAGCCCACTCCTCTCGAAGGGATTCTCCTGTTGGTGCTGCTTTCCAGATTGGGGGTGGGGGAAGAAGGGGGGACTGAGATTCATTCCTCCTGCCTGTGTTCCTCTGCCTCAGACATGGAGTCGGAGCTGCTGCGGGAAAGCCAGGCTATCGTGCTGCGCTCGGCGGACCTGACAGGGCTGGAGAAGCACGTGGAACAGATCCGTGACCACATCAATGCGCGTGTGCTCTATTATGCCACCTGCAAGTGATCTCCAGCTCCACCTCTGGCCCCATTCATCTGCCCCCTTTGTTTTTGATGGGCAGGTGGAGCTTTTGGCTCCAGGAGGCTTTGACGTCACTCATAGCACAGTCCGGACCAACCTAGATGTGCAGCTGCTAGGATTGCTTTGTGCCACTGCTGAGCCTGCGCTGAAGGGAACAGCACATTTGAGGGACAGAGATGCTGATGATAGGCATGTCATTATGACCGGGAGCTCTCAAGTTGAGGGAGCTGGACTGGGTGATGTCCCCAGCCTTTGTCCTTCATTGTGGTGGAATCCTGGACCAACACAAAAACTGAACAGAAAGTGGTGTACAAATGAAATACATAATAAATGTCTTTGGAAAGGAACCTGGAAGTCAAAGAGGGAAAAAGGTCTGTCTTTCCATTAAGTCAACTTTTGTACTGTTTCTGCCTCCATGTGGAATTCCTATGAGCTCAAGCCCATGGTTGCCCTGCTCACTCAGTTCAGCTTGCTCAACACCCGAACCTAGAGACTGGGCTCCTCCACCATGGGACTGGATGGATTCCATCCATAAGAGACCAGAGTAGCAGTTTTCACCTTTGTGTAGCAATCCAGCTTCTCATTTATAGACAAAGAAATAGAAATTCAGAGAAGGGAAGTAAACGTGTCCAGGTTCACACAGCTCCCAGCGGTGTTACAAATCAGCTGGTTGGGATCCTTTTGTTCTACCTGGATTCTCTCTGGGTATTATGATAGGCAAGTAGAAGCTCTTATAGTTATCCTTGAGTGCCCAAGGCCTAGGGGATAGACTGGCAGGTCTAGAAGTTTACCGCTCCAAGCCCTGAGAGCTTGGGACTATTGCTACAGATTTTAGAAGCCAGAGACTTATGGCTGGATGCACCCAGGTTGGTGTGCTTTAACCACTAGCACTTGACAGTTATTGTAATCCTGAGCTTCTAGCATCAGTGAGAGGCAGCAGCAGAGGACAGTACCTGCTAGTGTTATAGCTCCTGGGCAGGCCTTAGGTGTTGGGACTTTCACTCCTATAGGAGCTAGTGTTACATATCTTGGGCTTAGGCTGTTGGGACCTTTGACCATTTTAAGGCTTGGCAGCTCCCTGGAACTCTTCTAGCTGGAGTTTCTCATCTCTGACTCTTCACAGCTTTCTGTTTTCTGCCTTCTCTTGCCTTCTATATACTTCTGCCATTCTTTATTATCTCCACCACCTCTGCTACTCGTCAATTCTGCCTGCCCACTTTCTAGGACTCGTAAACTATCTTACTTGCTACTACTGCTGCTGCCACCACTTCAGTCACTTTCTCTTTGTGTTACCAGCTCAGCCTGCTCTACTAATGATAAGATCACAAGTAGGCAAGAAAAGACCACTCAGAGAAGCTTTTTATTGGGCCTAATGTCGCACCATCAAGGGGCAGCACAGGAAGGTATCTCCCAGATGACATGAAGAGTGAGCCAGAGGGTGTTTGCACCAATCACAGACCTTCTGCTGAGCCATCAGGGGACGTGTTCCTCCTCTGGTCTGAGTGAAAATGGCTGCTGCTGTTAATGGAGGCTTATGATGGCCAAAATTCTGGGACAAGTTGTTTGAAACGATTGTGGCTGCAATAGTACCTTTTGGAGTTGGAGTTGTGCCTTGGCAGCAAACAGCTGTGTTGGCAGTGTGGCTTCCTCAAGGTAGCCATGGAACGTTCAATGCCATCAGGCTGCCATAGGGGCAGTTTGGCCAGTAGCCAAAGAGGGGCTGCTTGGTTGATGGTCCTCTGCTCAAGGCAGCTGGGCACCAGGGAAAGGTCTAACAACTGACCACTGGGGAGTCAAATTTCCCTGGTCTCCAACATGTTAGCTTATTTAAAGGAAAAATAAACATTACAAGGGTTATTTACAATAAAGGCCTATAATTAGCAGTAAAAGTACTTAATGGTACTGTATTCTTAGCCAAGTAACGTTGGGAAGGGTTGAGCCATTTTATCTTTCTCAGAGGCAGGATGAAGACTACCATCTATATCTCTTGGGATCTCAAAGAGAAGTTGGAAATGAATTGTGGGTTTGTGTGTGCAAACATGGAATGTTAAAAATGCTGTGTGCTAACCATGGCTATGTACTAGGCATTTTACCTACATTGTCTTTGTTGTTGTTGAAACAGGGTCTCAATATGTAACCCATTCTGGCCTTGAACTCCTGCCTCAGCCTCCTGAGGGCTGGGATTACTTATGTTTATGGCACACCCATGTGCCATACAGTAATGACTTGATCATCGTTATTAACCATTTTAGTTATTTATTTATCAAGTGTGGTGTTGAGCACATCATCTGCATTATCTCATGATGCCACCTACAGGTGGCACTGTATATTCCCACGAGACAAATAAGGAAATCAAGGCACAAAAGGCAAGTAACATCCAAGATCGCAGATGTTGGAGGTGAGGCAGAACCAGACTTATACCCATGCACTTCAAATACAGTCATTAAAAGAGTGAACACTGGAGCTAGATCTCTGGGCTCCACAGAATCTACTCCAAAGGATTGTCATGAATTATGTAACTCATGTCACTAGATGGCTGGCTCACTGTAGGCTCCTGATACACGTCAGGTATAAAGCTGTCCATACAGAAGTCCCTAACCCTCTTCCAACTTTGAAAGAACCAAATGAAGCCATGTAGAGAAAAATATGTCCATTTTATTGAGCACAACACTGAGCATGAAGCTGGAGGGGGTGAGGGCAAGAAAATTGGGAAGGACAAGGATAATGTACCTGACCTTCAGGAGGAGAAAGGGGAACAGAAGCAGAAGTAGAATTCCTGGCTGACATGAAAATAGCTTCCAGTGTACTTAGGGGTGGGTACGGAGGGGGTGTGGCCAGGATGGTCCCTAGTATTGGATTTCTTTCTATTCCACCTTTGAAGATGTGACACAGCCTTTAGGTTGAGGCAAGGAGGGAGTGCTCTGGGAATGAGCTGACTGGGTCTCAGTGCAGTTGGGAGCTAATCCCAGAGAGTAGAATTAGAGCTTTTTGAGTACTCCCAGGCAGATCCTGGGAAGTGGCCTGGCATTCATGCAGATGGACAGATAACTACAATAATGAATGAATCCAGTCTGGCCATGAGGCCTGAGGCTGGAGAGGCAGGAGTGAGTGTGTGCAGAGCGGGGAGTCTGAGTAGAGTTTCCATATGGCTTTGCTTGGAGAAGGTGGCACAGCCTGGCCAGCCCACTAAGCTTTTCAAACGAACAACACAGAACCAGGTGAGCGCTATCTATGGATACTGCATGGAGCCAAGGCAGCTAGGGTATAGGACATAGAACAGGCAGGTCAGGGAGACCTGGAAGCCAGCGGATGCTGTTCCTCCTGCCCATAGCTTCAAGGAGACTCCAGGCCTTGGGGCTCTCTCCGGGGCCTCCTGTGAGTATCTGCCCCAGGTGGCAGCTGGCTGCTGCTTCTGAACAGAACTTGCTCTGCCAGGCCCTGCTCCATTGTTCCCCTTCCTCCCTCTGCAGGGTAGACACCAGGGTTGGAAGGGCAGAGAAGAGTCAGACATGTCTCCTGTGAAGGGAAGTGCTCCATGTGAGGGTGGGGCGTCCATCTCCAGCCCTTCAGGCCCATCATTTAGGCCAGGGACAGGGCTTTCCCTCTGGGACAGAAGTTCCTCCTGAGTTCTATGCTTTGGTCCCTTGGCCTCTTACCTGAAAACTGCAGTGACACAAGCACAGGCTTCAGGGATCACATAATGAGACAGACCCCAGTCTGCCCTGTTCGGCAGTGGGAACTGCCCCCTGCTTTAACTGGCACCATGACCTCTGATTTGAAGTTCCTAAAAAGGAGATCAAGCAGTGACCTTGAAGTATTTGAGGAAGGGAAAATAGCTGAGGGGTGTTCTCTGTGCCTGTGCATCCACCCAGCTCTCCCATCCTGACATTCACAAATAAAAGACACATTAGACAGCTATGGCCTCCTATTCCTTTCATCTCCCAAACAGATAGGCTCTGGCAACTCAGTGAATCTAATGGTTTAACCACTTTTCTTAGGGCTTTTATAATCTCTGCTGCTCCACTAAATTTTATAAGCACCTCTGTGAGGCAGGTTGAGCAATACGCTTCAATCAACCCATTTCACAGATGAGCAAACTAGACACAGAGATATTCACAGACTTGTTTGTGGTCTCATGGCTAGTGAGTGGTAGGGGCAGGGGCCAGAAGCTTTTCCCTCCCCCTGTCCCCTGTCTCTCAATCTAGACTTCTTCCTACCTTTAGAAGAGCTGCCTAGCAGTGGGAGAGACCTTTTTTGAAATTTCTTTTAGTGAGTTGGCTGACTTCCTACAGATCAGGCTGAGCAAGGTTAGGTTTTGTCTTTGCAGAAAATACGTACTGCTTTTTGTTGGTCTTTTTGAGGAGAGTAGGCTCAGAGCAATAGGAGGAACTTCCTTTGTTCCCAATGTTCAGACAACTGGAACAGCAGCCGCAGGGCCCCGTGGCCAGCGGCCCCTGATGCATGGGTACCAGGCTGCTGCTGATGCGCAGAGAGCCATTGATCAAGCAGTTGAGGGACCTGCCGCCGGGGGCACTGGGCTGGGAGTTGTGTTGGCAGGGCAGCTGGGGCAGCACAGCGAGGGGCACAATGGGGTCCAGGGCAGGGGCTTCGGTGATGGTGATCTCAGGGGAGCTGGCTCTAGAGGCTTCTGAGGCTGGGGGGACAGGAGGCCTGTTCTCCACTTTTGGGCGGGTGCTGGGGCTGTGCAGACTCATGTGCAGCTTCCTCATGTGATGCACAACGGCTGCGGCATTGAAGGCTTGCTAAGGAGATAGAGCAGTTCTGGCCTCTGCAGCCTCATAGGGCCGCCCGGCTCTGGAAACCAAGGTGCCCACTTCTCATTTCAGAGAGGACACAAGGAGCAATATTGCCTGGTGGCATGCCCCAAGGGAAGCCTTCCACCAGCTCCGCCCCTGCCCTTCCTCCTGGGTCCCAGAACAACCCACCAAGCCCTGGAGAGCACAACTTACCCTCCATTTACTCTTGGCAAAGTTCTTCTGGATCTGGAGGCTGACAGATGGATAGATGTCCCGATGGAGGGCTGTGTTCCCGTCGATCCTGTGGATGCAGGAGGGGACCCTGTCTACTGGGTGGCTGTGGACATTCAGCCTGGGGATGGGCAGGGCTCTGTGCATACAGGTCCAGGTCAAAACTGAGTAGAATGCCCCAGGGGAGGGGTGATTTGCGATAGGAAAGGGTTGGAATAAGGGCTTCTCTGTCACCCTCCCTGGGCATGTCATAGGGTGTTTATGCTTTGGAAAAACCAAACACGTTGAGATCATGGTTGGCAAATTATGACCTGGGGGATGGGAGGGGAATTTACACACTGTCTGCACCCTCCCCACTGGAGTCTGAATCCAGGGTTTCACACGTGCCAGGCGAGTGCTATACCACCTTAAGCCACATCCCCAGCCCCATATCCTCTTTTGCAAGTAAGGTTTCACCGGAATGCAGTCTTGTGTGTTCACTCAGACAAGGCATTGCCTGTGGCTGCTTTTGAGCTACTCAGCACTGCTGAGAAGTGGCAACAGATATAGTATGGCTGGCAAAGTCTCAACATTTTACTATTTGACCCTTTACAGAAAATGTTTACAGACCCCTACATCACTAGGCCTGTGTCATCATTGTTCTTTAGCTCGAAATCTTGCTCAGAAGCCAGGCCCCCTGGAACCTTCCCTAGGGAGCCATCTGATACAGCTGCCTCCTTCTCCTTCCTTTAACCTCTTATTCACCTGTCTGTAAGCATTCCTCAGACATGTGCTGTGTGTGCACAGTACTAGGACAACTACCAAGGGATCCAAAGAAATGAGAGACATGGGCCTTGATCCCTAGGAGCCTGCAATCTGGATGTGTGATGTTTCATTCTGTGGGCTAGAGAAATTGACTGTAAGCTAATAAAGAGAAATGGAGAGGCCTGCATGACGTGCAGGAGTCAGGAGCTCCAGGGAAGGGATCCAGATTCTAAAGGATTGACAGGGAAGTCAAGAGATAGAACATTCCTGATGGTGAAAATGGTACAACTCAAGGTATAGTTAGGAAAGAGCTTGGTGTGTGGGGTGGAGGAGGGCAAGAAGAGAAGTTGGAAATCCTAGGAGATGAAGCTGAAGATAAAGGGTTAGGCCAGATTAGAGAAACCCTGAAGGACAAAGGAATCTAAATGTGCTATGGTAGGTAATGAGGAGCTATTAAAAATTCTTGAGCAGGAGAGTGGTAAGGTAAAAAAGTGTTTCAAGATTGCATTTACCTATTGTTGATTGGGATTACTCTAGTCCCTTCACATGGAACAGGGTTTGATCCTAGAGTAACACGACATTCTTAAGGACAGAAAAGGGTGGCCTGTGAGTAACAAGAACTGAGTGTTATACCATATAGGCGCTGATATATGTTGCGCTGAATGACAGGGCCCTACTGAGGCTGTTTCTGGAATTCTCTGGACAATTCAGCTGCCGTCCTTAGGTTGGACCCGCTTGATGAATGTCTGCATCTTCACCTGGAGCTGATGAACAATTGTGTGCTCTGTGGATATCTCAGCAAAGACTCAGGACAAGCAGTTCCAGAGGATGGCCACATGAGCAAGTCAGCATGACTCTGGGGACCCCAGATAAAGATCTAGAGTCCACCCCATTTCTCACTCACCAGGGGTGCCGCAAGGCCTTCTCACAGGTGTACCGTTCATTTGGGTCCTTTTCCAGCAAGTGGCAAATAAAATCCTTGGCTAAGGGGAGCAATTAGAGACATGAAAACTAAGGACCAGATTTCATGACTGATGGAAATTCACTTCTGGGCTGGTGGGTGGCAATGAATACATCTAGCTAATCTTCCAAGGAAGCAATTTTAAGAGTCTTAAAAGAGAGAGAGAAAAAAATCCAAACCACCTAACAACTATCCACCATAAGCCATCCAAGATGAGAGGCTCTAAGCAGCCTCACCCACACAGCACTGCAGAAACCTTGAGAGTCACGAGGCACCAATGTGCCTGTACACCACGTGTGCGTATGTGTGCTGATACACGAGCCAGCACCAGAATGTGGGCACACGTGTGAGTGCTGGCTTGTTCCAGCTCAAATCTCCACTTACCAGGCCCAATGAGCATGTATGATTGCCTTCTTGCATACTCAGACATTGCACTTTACCCCTGGTTTTGCTACTCTTGCCTGGAACCCTCCCCTCTGCCTGACTCTACTCTCCTTGTTTCTTCTCTAAACTGCACCCCGCTCTCCACCTTTCTGCACAGGCATGCTGTGGTTCTGCCTCTAGGAAAACAAACACGCGAACCCTAGACACAAATAATTTATCTGGTCTTTGAAGCATCTGAAAATTTCTCTACTTTCCCCAGCAGCTCATTCTGTATTATCTCCAGGGACTTGGAAGAGCCAGGACTATCATCTTTTGTTAAGAGCTTTTCTCCCGGCTGCCTCTGCCTTGAGTTTGTGACCTTGCCTTTCACACCTACTGGCCTTACCTGACTCAGAAATGTCATCCCAGAATGGAGACTCAAACTCATAGTAGCCCTCTTTGATCTTCTCAAAAAGCTTAGACTCGGTTTCTTCATAGAATGGAGGATACCCACACAGCCTGCAAAGGTACAGGAAGGAGCCATGCTGCTGAGATGTCCCATTCTCCCGGGCCAGCCTTTTTTCTCCACCCCACCTTCCATAGCACACACAGGTGGGAAACCTGCAGTGTGATCAAAATGTGGATCTGCCCGATTCAGGGATGGCCGGGTCCCATAAAGGGTATGTATAGGAGGCAAGTCCTGAAGAGGCATCCCCGGAAGACCCCCTTGTACATTCTGCCTTCAAACCCCCACCACTTCTCTGTACTTCTTCCGACCCTTGGTATTTTGATGTCCAAAATATCTTGAAGAAAGAAAGTGAATGTTTACTTAAGTGTAAATTTCACAAAGGATTTATCTGGGCTGTTTCGTTCACTATTATTTGCTCTATTATTTAGCACCTACCCCAGGGGTTGACTCAGAGTAGACAGTCAATGAATATTTGTTGAGTAAATGAATGAATGAGAAAACTATCCAACAGAAACTGAGGAAATAGAGAGCTGAATCCACACGAAAGGATAAGTGTCTGATACCAGGGTATTTTCCTAAGAGCCAAGTTTGTTATAGGTGAGGACGGATGGTGGGGAAGAGGCGATGAGCAGGTGAGACAAGGAAGAGCCTGAGGGTGTGGAGGCACAAAAAGGAGAGGCCCTGACCAGCTTCATCCAGGTCATGGTTCCTGTCTTGGGCTGATGTCACCAGGGGAGAAAGCTAAGATGCAGGAGCATCAGGTCTACTTGATTTCCAGGCCTGACTTGGTCTGTTGCTTTTCCCTGCAGGTTCCACAGAGGGACGCAGAACACTTATATATGGGGAGTGGGAGTTGGGCACAGGAGGAGGATAGGCCAGGTGCTGAAGAGTGAGTGCAAGCTAGGGCTCTGCTTTTGTTACTTGGTAGAGATGAGGACAGAGGAATTCTTGGAGCCTTGTGTATGAGTAAGCTCATGTGTGTGCATGTGTGTGTACATGTGCTTGGGAGAACTAGAAGATGGGGAGGAGAGAAGAAGGGTGAGGAGGCGCTGAGAATTCTCAGGGGCTGGTCCAATGCCAGCTTCTACTCACAATATATAGGTGATGACGCCAATGGACCAGCAGTCCACAGCCTTGCTGTAGGGTTTCTGGGCCAGCACCTCTGGAGCTGCAGCAAACCAATGGCAGAGTCAGGGCTGGGGGCAAGAGAAGAGGGCTATGGGGTGGGGGCTGAAGGCCAGCAAGAGGCTTAGAGAGGACAACAAAGGTAGCCCAGAGGATGGAGGAGTTTCTATAAGACTGAAAACTCCCAAGGGCAGGGCTGGGTTTCCCCTAGGACAACTAAAATTTCTTGTGAGAAGATAATATGTCCTCTCCACAGAGACCGTGATAGGGTCTATGACTCCTCCATCAGACTGGATATCTCTAGGACTCCATACCCCCATCACACTAACTACTCTCTGAAAACAGAGGCTGTGTCTCTCCACTCAGGTGGGGAAATTCCCCAGGGCAAGAGCTGTGTCTTTCCTTTTAGACTGAGAGGTCTTCAGGGTAGAGCAGGAGTCCCTGGAAGACAGGGGTTAGGAAGCTCCAGAGAGTAGGCCGTAACTTTCTTATCAGACTCTGGGTACCTTCTAAGGGCAGGGGCTTAGTCTGCCCCATCAGGTTGAGCTCTCCATGAGAACATGAGTCACGTCTTCATCTGATTGGGGTCTCTGGGGCAGTAGAGAGTGGCTTTCTTTATGTATCCCAGAAAACATGGCGTAATACCCAGTAGATCTCCATATCTTTTGGGGAGTAACTGACTTCCCTTTTAGGGAGAGAATAGCTCACTCTCTGAGTCAGGGCTCTGCTTTCCACTGTTCAACTCCAAACACGTGATGATTGGCTAAGAGGAAAGGGGCAGGAGTGGACATTCCAAGTTTCAACTTCTTCCCCCATGGATCCCAGGAATGCTTTCACCAGTACCCTTCCTATTGTCACCTTTTTGAGAGCCCTGGAAACCCATAGGGTTTGGGTATCCAGGGCTCTCAACTGGCCGAGATGGAACACCCTGTTCATCCACGGTTTCCAGGGCTCTCAACTGGCCGAGATGGAACAGGGTGTTCCATCTCGGCCAGTTCCCCAGAGTGCTTCCTAGGTATATATTTGAGGTCCATATCTGGGTTCCTTAGTCATAAACTCCTTGTGCTCCAGCCTCCTAAGAGGTCTCCTCTAGAGTGGTGATCTTTTCTCTGGCCCTTGGCCAGCTGAAAACACAAAAAAAGGCAGGAAGGGTATCTTCTGAAGTGATAGTCAAAGTATGGCTGAAGGCTATGGAAGGGCTTTAAAGATTAGGATTTGAAAGCAGTAGGGGTAGTTCCAGAGATTTATAGATTGGCCTTAACCTCAGCAGTGAATGCTCTACCTGGGTAGCCCCTGAAGTTGGACCTTGTCTCTGCACAATCACCCTACTCTGTGAATTATATCCATGGGGTTGAAAACAGTCAACTGGTCAACTTCTCAGATGCTCTCAGACTCACCCACATAGCCTGGGGTCCCACAGGCTGTCGACATGACACCACTCTGTTCCATCTTGGACAGACCAAAGTCTGTGATCATGATCTTTGAATTCTCTTCAGGGGTGAGGTACAGCAGGTTTTCAGGCTGTAAGAGAAGGAAATATGGAGTACAGGATGCAATCACTTAAAACACAGAAATGTATCCTTCCTCCTGATAAATAATTTCTTAGGAAGCTAAGCTCTGAGCTCCTGGTTTCAATGCCAAGTTCATTTTCCCACTCTTTTCTCCTCCCTGTTCCCTTACTCCCATACCCCAGACCTCTGTATCTGACTTTGCTCACCTTGTAATTTCCTGCCACTTCCAACTACCCCAAGACTGTCTGTTCACCCTCGGTTGATTGTCTCTTATCTCACCAAAGCCTATTGCAATGACTGGTACCATGTAGACCCTCAATAAGTATCTCAATAAGTATTTGTTACACTTGAGTTTGACTGGCTGGGTTCACTAAATGTATGGATTACTTAGACTTCCTAGTGGGATAAGATGTAGTGAAGGGAAAAGGCCAAGGTACAAATTAACAATGATTGTTTAGTCACCCAAGGCTTGTTTAGGAAATCTGAGAACCAAAGAGACCTTGAGAATTCAACTTGTCTAACCTTCTCATTTTAGAGAGGTCGACTTCTCATGACCCACACAGCTTCCTAAAGGGTCACTGTCTATTTCCCATTAAGCACTCTTGCCTTGATACCTTTAAGTCTCTGTGGACAATGCCATTTTCATGGAGGTATTTCACTGCTGACAAAACCTGCTGGATCACCAGGCTGGCATCTTTCTCTGTGTAGACACCTCGCTCCAGGATCCGGTCAAAGAGCTCCCCACCGGAGACCCTGAGGGCACAGGGGCAAGAGCAGGAGTCCAGTTCTTATTTCAGGTGAAAGGAATGCAAACATGTCTACTCAGGAGCCATGCGAAATACAGGTGTGATAGAACAGGCACGTTCCTGTGGACTGTGATTTGAAGGGTGTAGGGAGGACCACTACAGTTTCAAAACACCTCCTCTGGGTACATGGAATGATATCACTAGGGAGTCATTTCTTTGAGCCAAGCATTGACTTCTCTGTGGAAGTTTCCTTTAAAATACAAATGCCTCTGGTTGTCATTGCACAAGTTGCCAATAATCCCTTACAGTGGACACATTTCTTAGCTGTCTTTCTTCCTGGTCTAGGACACAGTAAACCATGATGAAAGAAAGAAGTGATACTTGGGCAAAGTTGGAATAAATGGCATGAAAATGAGACCAACTGTGTTGGTCAGAATTTCTTTCCTCATTTTGGAAAATTAGGCTACCTAAAGTTGGAATTTCAGGTAATGTCTTGGAATATTTTGAGACTCAAATGGTATAGGATCTCAGGTCTTAGCAGTGGGTTAAAGACTGACCTTCTATCTCTTGAACACTAGCTACACTATTTTCACCTAGGTTTCTGGTCAGTATTGCAACATCTAAGTGCTGGAGAACTCACTATGACAGATTGTTTTATCTTTTGACATCTTCTTAATATTAATAATATTTCTAGCAGATACCAATTCCACCCACTGGGACTAAACAGAACAAGAAAAACATTCTTTTACATGAATCTTTTTCAAGTATGCAAAGCCAGTAGAATGCTCTCCTGAGGCCTTCCTCCTTTCTCTTTTCTGGGATAAACATCTACAGACTATTTCAATCATGATTCAAGGTTTCCAATCCTCTCACCATCCTCAGCCCTGGAGTGGTACTCTTGGGAGAATTGGTGGCTTCTGAGTGACATATAAACCTGCCTGCCTCCTTGCCCTCCATTACTCGTCTGAGTAGCTCTGTGCTAATCCTCTTGAATTGACATTCTTAAGGTGCTACATGGTCTTTGTTCACTCAGTGCCACTCTGGGCCCTCCCCACTTCATTTCCTTGACTGTCTCTTTACTGGGTGTCAGTGATCGGAGAATTAATCAATTACTCAGACACAAATTAATGTATTAAATTATCCAAGGAACTGGGCGCTGGTGGCTCATGCCTGTAATCCTAGTTACTCAGGATACAGAGATCAGGACAATAGTGGCTCAAAGCCAGCCCAGACAAATAGTTCACGAGACCCTATCTTGAAAAAAACCTAACACAAAAAAGGGCTGGTGTAGTGGTTCAAGGTGTAGGTCCTGGGTTCTAATCCCAGCACCACAAAAAAAAAAATCCAAGGAATCAGTCTACAAGTCCAAAATCACATTGCATCCAGCTACACTGAGATCACAGAGTTGTATGTGTGCATGTGAGTATATGGGTGTGTACTTATAGATACTGAAGAAATGTCTTTGGGTGAAAGGCTGAGCTCTCAGGAGCACTGACCAACCCACACAGCAGTCACTGTCAGCCAGAACTCTTATTTGGATCTGATGACATGTAAAGACCTTTCTAATGAAGTACTATTTCTGTCTGATAGAAGGACACACAGGGGCTAGGGGCATGGCTCAAGTGGTAGAGCACCTGCCTAGCAAGTGCAAGGCCCTGAGTTCAAGCCCCAGTACTGCAACAATAACAACAAATGCAACAGAACTTGTTTTTAACATCAAGTGAATTTCTTTTGAGAAACTCTTTCTCGTATTGAATTGAAATCTTCCTAGCTGTGGCTTCTACTCCTGTAATAACTTTACTCTGGAATGATGTTTATAGGTTTACTATCCACTTGACAGAGATGAACTGGTCAAAATGGACCCAAGATGTGGTACCTTGTAGTTCTGGCGGCTCACACTCTGCATGGCCCCTTCAGTTGCTGGGTTGTGGGGAAACCTGAGAAAGCTCCAGGGGAGGGGTGGGACAGCAGAAGAGCATGGAAAACTATTTTCACACTTGTAGGAAATATTTCAACAACGGGTAATCTTGTATCAATAATCAGCCCTGGCATTATTGCTCAGCCTAGAGGCACGTCAACCATAAAAGAAGTCAGCATTTCAAAGCCTCTTGAGGAAATTCTTCAGTTTGTCTTTTAATCACCACTGACCAACCTCCTTTGGGCCTCCCAGGCCCATGGAGGAAGTGTTGAAAAATTACTATTCCAGGGTACTGTGAAAAAACAAGGCAGACACGATTCCTGTGGTATGTCTTAGATCAACCAGGCTCTATGGAGGAGATGGGTCACCTTACACTTACAGCTGCATGACCAGGTAGTAATGAGTGGTACTCTCGTAGATGTCCTCCAGGGTCACAATATTTTCATGCTTGATCCTAGGAAAAAGTAAGTGACATGCTTCAGATGGTCCGGACAAAGACTGCAGACCCAGTCCTAAAGTTTTTTCTGGAGCGTTTTTATGGCAATGTTTAGAGGGACTGGGTTCTTGGGAAGCCTTCCTAATAAGTAGGCTGTCACAATATAATCTCAGGGAAAAGATTTCCAGAGTGGTATTTAACCTGCATTTATTGAATGAATATTGATCATCCTGCTTTCAGAGAACAAGCATTTCACTGTTACTTCAGGAATTTCATTAAGTTTTATCAAGAGATAAAGATCTGAGGAAGGGCTGGGGATATAGCTCAGTGATAGAGGATGTGATTTATATTTGCTAGGATGTGAAGCTCTGGATTTGATCACCACACACACACACCTGATGCAGGCTAAGGACATACCCAACAGCTGATTATTCTAAAAAATGGGTATTCAGATTTCTTTCAGAAATATCACATGAAGAAAATACACTACAGTAGGATGGGCTTAGATTAGCTGAACTCCCTCTTTGGAAAACATGGAGGAAGTGTTGAAAAATTATTATTCCAGGGTACTGTGAAAAAACAAGGCAGACACAATTCCTGTGGTATGTCTTAGATCAACCAGGAGCTAATTTGCCTGTGAGGAGACGTTTGATGATATTTTTGATTGTTGTTATTCATGTCTGAGGGTGTTACTAGCATTTAGGAGGTGGAGGAAAAAATGCTTCTAAACATCCAATCATGCACAGGACAGTCCACTACATAACAAAGAACGATCCAATCCCAAATGTCTATAGTGTGTGGTTGAGAAACCCTGCCCTAGGTTACTTTTGTGTATGATCACTCAAAGACTGAGTCAAACAAAATAATCTTATTAGCCAAGGGGCATGGCTTTGCTTTCCAGGCAGCAATTCTGAGCATGCCTGCAAAGGCAGACAGTCTCCAGGAAGTTTTACTCATGGATCTGCAACACAGAGGTTAAGAACTTAGACTCTGAGTCAGTTGGGCCTGGGTTCAGATTTCGCTCAGGCACTTACTAACCTTAGCTGGCTTTCTCCAATCTCCTAAACTTCATTTACCTTGCCTGAAAAGTACATATCTCTTATAGGGTTATATCAGGATTAAAAGAGAAAGTGAGTGGAAAAATGTTTAGTTCAGTACCTCATGGATTACAAACCATATAATCAATAATAGCTATCTAATTTAGGATATTTAAAAAAACTACAGACCTGCTGCACTTGGTTGCTTGATGGATTCAACTCATAAGCAGGCAATGCTAACATTAATTTGTTGACTAAACACTCACTGAACAAACATCTACTGTCTATGCTGTTGATAAACTACAATAAGAATGACCATCATAGTCCTTGCTTTCATTAGTTTATAGTCCCTGCCTTTCTGCCCTAATCTCCCTGGAGCCCAAATCTATCTCTCCAGTATCCTACTAGACACTTCCATGTACAAATAGGTAGAGAGCTACATTCAATGTGTTTCAACCAATTTCTTTCTATTTCTGCCAAGCCTACACATTTGCTCTCTATCCCAAGCAATTGTATGCTTTCCGTGTTTTCTTGTTTGTCTGTTTTCTCTTTCTTCTTTTTGTTTTTGTGGTGCTGGGGATGGAACCCAGGGTTGTGCACATGTTAGCAAGCTACATTCCCAATAGCAGTGGCATTACTTTCTATTAATGGGCACATGCTCAATCTCAGAATCTTTTTTGATGCTTTTCTCTTCTATACTCTTATTGGTCAACCTCAACCCAATCACTTCTTTCTCTGAAACATCTCTTGCATCCAGTTGTCTTGTCTCCACATGATCCTGCCACTACCTTGTTTTCTCATCTCATGCCTAGATTATTGTGAAAGTCTTACAATTAGTCTCCCACTCTCTAGGCTGTTTTCTTCCATCCCATCCTACTGAAAAAGGATGGCTATAAAATACTAATCTGCTCATGTGACTCCTTGCTTAACATCCTCAGGATGACTTCCCTTTGCCCACAGAATAAAGCCAACATTCTTTATTGTGACACATAAGATCTTTTGTAATCCCTTGTTCCATTTCACATTTTACTTTCGTTTCCTGTCCTTTAATGATTCTACATAAAAGTTTACATTGCTCTTAGCCTGAATTCCCTTTCTGCATGATCTTTTTTGCCCCCACAAAATTCTACTCATTCATCAAGGACTTTCTTCTCTGAAAAATGTGACTAATATCCCATATTCATAAAACACACATAGGCAAGATGATTCTTTATCACCTCCATGTTCTGCCTTCTGTTGGTGCACTTTACATTGAATGGGATTATAGTATGTTATGGACACCTCTGTCTCCACCAGGAAAATGTGAGCTCCTGAGGGTGAGGAATTTTGTGTGCCTCATCCTTGTGGTCCTGATCCTGTGTTAGTGGGCCTGACTCTGTTGGTATATTGTAGGAGTTCCAAAGGTTTGCTATAACAGTCTCTCTGGATACAGTTTATGATTTGTTAGTGCAACCATCCATCATGATGGCTACATTAGCTTTGGATAAAATTGGGGCTAATTTTCAAGTCTTATGCTACTCCTTAATTACCGATTCTTCCTGATGTTGACGATCAATTGATTCTTATTCCTTTGGGCTAATTGTTCTCTGGCTTATGTGCACAAATTAGCTCTCACACTAGCGGGTTCCCTAGTCAACTTGCTGGTAAAAAAAAATAATTCAACCAGGACAGGTGTCTGATGAAATTTAGCTGATTGACCAAACTGACCCATCAACTCAGTCAAAGGGAGAAATGTCTTTGGGGGTGGCAATCCAGCCCATGGTCTCGTGAAGGTAACTTGTGAAAGACATGTTGTGATCCCAGAGTCACACCCAACAACCCTGAGACACACTTACTTTTTCAACACAGCGATCTCGTTCTCCAGGCTGCTGTCTCGGAAGGCGGGTGACTTCTTAATGCACTTCAGAGCAAAGAGCTTGCCAGTCACCCTTTGCTTCACAAGAAACACTTCTGAAAAAGCTCCTCTGAAAGGAAGATGCCAAGACATAAGCCTTAGTTCTGACTGGCTAGAGAACATTCTGGAAGCAAAATGAAAGTGTAGATAAAAGAAGATGTAGCTGACAATGAGTTTCCATTGTCATTGATGGCCTGAATGAGCTGTATTGATGACAGGATCTATCTGACATGCCAGCATGCTCTTTCGTGCATAGATCATGAGGGAAGGAAAATATCCCATTAACGACCCAGGGACCAGGCACATGCTTTTCCTGCTCCTATAATTTGGGAAAAACCCCAGAGTGTTTCAGCTGTGGTGATTTCTTCACTTGGCAAACCCATTAAAGAAAGGCCAATGCAGAGTCACTTCACTTTACTTCTAGCATGGTGCAATCGACCCACTGGAGTGGCAGTGGCTATAGCACTGGGGGATGACTCGGGTGTAATAGGAGAAATTGCTGTGGCAGTTTTCGTATTTATCTTTTTAAACACAGGGTCTTACTATATTGCCCAGGCTGGCCTCAAACTTTAAGCAATCCTCCTGCTTCAACCTTCCAAGGAGCTGGGACTACAGGTATGTCATCTGCTTCTGTCTGATCATCACCCTGAACCAATTTTCAGAGGACAAGGAAGCTAAGCATCCTTTCATTCATTTGATTTGTATCTTCATGGACAAAGAAAAGACGGTGCAGCAGCTTCTGGGACAGAATTTCTATGGCAGAACAGATGAAATCCAATGGGAAATGAGGGCAGGGTTCCAAATTACAATCTTCTTAGTTTGCAGGGGTCCTCTGAAGACCAGACCATCAGAACAGCAGGTAAGCTAAGGGTAGATGCATGTTATAAACTCTGCTTTATGGTTGACAAGTGATTTAACTTCTATACACCCAGTTTCCTCATCTGAATGTGGGAGTATCAATAGTATCTGAGTCACAGGGTTGTTTAGAAGATTCAATGAGTTAACATCTGTAAACTGCACAAAAGTATTTTCAACATTTATTTATTTATTTGCCATAGTGGGGTTTGAATTCAGGGCTTCATGTTTGCTAGGCAGGCATTCTACGCTTGAGCCATGCCTTCAGCTCTTGACAGCTATTAAACTATATATGTTAGTTATGGTTATTATCATTATCGAATACCGTTAGGGAGAATACCTTGTAGTACAACAGGAAACAGAAACTAAAGGACGAAACAGCTGAGTTTCCTTTCCCTTGCCCTCTGGATATTCTAGAATGAAGGCCTGAAGCAGTCAAGCTTTTATAAGGACTTTAAAAATATGCATTAGAAAATACTTGGCATTTCCTGTGTCTGGGTTTCCTGTTTTCCCAGCTGTACTTGGAACTGAGTTAATCAGAGCCTTTAGACCTTGCTCTATTCATCCATTCATTCACTCATCCCTTCCACCAAGATTTATTGAGCACTTCACTGATTCTTAAATACTGGAGATGAAAAGGTGAGCTTGTAGATTAGTGAAGAACAAAGCAAGGAAGCGATTAGCACTTGATCTTAAAAAAGCTATCAGCCATTCAATGAATGTTTGCTGAACTCATGGAACCTCTCCATGTCAGGCACTAGAATGACTATTGATTTAGTTTATAATTGAATGTGAGAGGTAGACACATATAGATTAACAGCAGCATTTGATGAGGCCACAGAAAGTGGGCACTTAATACAGTGTTCACTGGGCAGTAGTTGGGTAAATTGTGCACCGCATAGTCCCAACAGATGGCATTCACCTTGGGGCCAGTGTGTATGTTACATGATAATCCAGAAGCAGACAGCATGCTAGAGGAAAGGGCACCTTTTTCTTAATTTGTACAAAGAAACCACTTGGGGTAGTTGAGGAGCATATAATAAACACATCATGTCCTGAGTTGAGAACACCCCGAGCTTAGTTTTAGAGGGTGAGTTTGTCCAGTGAAATGAGTTGGAAATATTTCACGTGGGAGTTGGGAGGAAGTACGAGAAAAGGATGTGGACCAGCAGGCTGGGGTGGCACAGCCGGGGTGAGAGTAGTCCAGCACTATTTGTGAAGGATGAGGCAAGGCATGATGGCAGATGGATGTGGATGAGAACTGGGTCCTAAGCCTGGTTATGTATGGAAAATGCACAAAAAAAATTTGTTTAAGAGATGAATGGATGGATGGCAAGTTTGGACCAAGACTAGTTGCATTTTCTGCTCTAATAGTTCTCCATTCTATAGGGAGCCAGGGTGGTGGCTGATGGTGGGTAAAGAGGACTAAAGAGAAGAATCTCCTTCTGTGCAGTGTGAAAGAAGGAGGCAGGGACTTAAGTGACATGTTCTCTGCTGTGGACTACTACCTTTGCACAGTTCCCTGTGGCTGCCCTAGGGTCCTGGATGGTGTGTGGCATCTGCGTAGGTTTAGACAAAAGTAAATTCTCCTGGTGTGCTCCACAGGAGTAGAGAACTGGGAAGAAGAGTCCTTTGTCATGGGGTTCTGGTGAATCCTGATTCAGGGGAATCTGGTCTTCCTAAAATGCTCCTCTCTTTACCACACTGTGGGATTTGGAAGCCTGGGGTCTACCTCCCTCCTGAGCACCACAGAGGCACCTTCTCGTTGGTCTGCGTTCAGCCCTAACTGCTCAATAGTTGTGGCTTGTATGTAAAACAAATACAGTTGTCCCTAGGCACCCTTGGAGGATGGATTCCAGGACCTCTTCAGATACCAAAATTGGGCAATGCTCAAGTTCCTTCTATAAAATGATGCAGTTTTTGCCTATAGCCTATGACCATCCTCCTATATGCTTTAAAATCTTCTCCAGGTTACTTATAATACCTATTGCAATGTAAATCATTGTTATAATTATTATTCATTGCTTAGGGAACAAGGACTGGAAAAAAATCTGTACATGTTCAGCACAAATGCAATTTTTTTCCCCACAGTTTTTAATCCTCTGATGATGGAGCCTGCAGTTGTGGAACCAAAGGATGCAGAGGATGGAGGACTGGACAGGGAGATATTAACAACTTAAGGGGTGGGAATGATGACACTCATTGTACTATTATTTCACTTTTCCTTGTGTTCAAACATTTTCACAGTTCAAAGAAGGAGTCATAAGCTCCCGGATGGCTGATAGCCCTCTAGGTTTAGATTTTTTTTCGCAGTAGACCTCACTGAGTTTCATGAGGGAGGGCACATCTGTCTCCTGACAGTCCTTCTAGCAGGCAGTGGACATGCTCTTGTCAATCTGGGCGTCCTGCTGCCTGTTTTCCTTGACTCTTTGCTTCTATGAAAAGCCTCTTCTTGAGCCACTCCTGTGCTGGCAGAAGCCCTTAATGGAAGTGCTATTGCCTAGAAGACCAGCACCACCACCGTGATCCTCCTGTGTGTGCAGAGCACAACATCCTGCCTGTGCTTGGAGGACTCAGAGGTCTCCTCTCAGCCATGCTTGGAGCCTCTCTGTCTGCAGCGAGAGTGTGGGCATCCATCATCATTATCTGAGGTCACTGCCTCCCAGACAGGGAAGAGGGGAGCAATACTTAGACAGAATTGACCAGAAGGAAAGCTTGCCTGGATGAACAACTCACTGACCACTCCTCACTGCCCAGGCCCAATTAGTACCGGCTAATTAGCTTACCAGCTGGGGCTCTGAAGGGGTGATAGTGATAGTCTCTGTGTCAGAGACTATAACCTCCTGGGGGGACAGACAGGACTAAGCTGTCTCAGGTCTACCAGCCATATAATCACTGTCAAGGGGCAAGCACAGACAGCAAAGGCTTGTGAGCGTTTGGACCATGGCACAGCCAAAGCACTGAAATATGGATAAGAGAGAGGGTGGTGGCAGAAGTGACTAGGGTATGTGTAGGCCATCAGCTCTCTGGGACTCAGAAGCCCCCTGTCTTCCATTTATAGTAGTCAATGATGTTGGCCTGATCACTGGAGCAGGAGGAAAAAATGAGGAAGCCCAGGAAAGTTCTAAAGTCACTGAATTTCTCGAGGTGCTCTCCAATTCCTCTCTTCTGTGGCCTGGGCAAGAATTCATAAGTTGGTGAAGATCTAGAAGTATGGTCAGGTCCGCTAGAGGTGGCTCAGAATGACCAGGAACCTGGGGGAAATTCTCTGGGTGCCACTCATCCCCACTTTCACCCAAGGGTACCTTCTCCCACACCACCCATTACCCCTAAGGGTGTAAAATTCTTCCCAGTTTTCTTAGATCTATTGAGAATAGGTCCTAGTAACCTCAGTGCACTTCATCTGTCACAGCTGACCCAGAACAACTCTTCACCTCCCCACAGTAGGTGGCCCAGTTCACCGGTTTCCTAGGCCAGTACTTACGATCCCAGCACTTCCATGAAGATGAAGGTTTTCCGAATGTTGGTGGTCTGTTTCTTCCAAGAACTGCAGTCGTCTTCTTCCTTTCGACCCATTGCCTCCAGAGTTGAAGCTTCTAGGGATGCTTTGTTGGAGGGAGAGATGGAGGAAGAGAAGAAAGACAAAGTCTGATCAAATAATTGCTCGAATAAGAAATACATCACTTATGTAATGACCAGAAGGAAGGATTGGGAGCAAAACCTGGACATGACAAAATAAGAGTATTCTCTCCACTTATCTTTTAAAATTACTACAACAAATTTATCGAATGTCTGCTACATGTGCATTAAGCTTGCTACACGCTCAGCAGCAGAAACCCTGCTTGTAACCTATGCCTTCATTAAGGCAATGGTGCATACGTGTGTAGGTTAACGTGTGAATATCCACCTCGAGGAGCCATGACGTGAGGTGAGGTACTTCCTGTGTTGCCCAAATGATCACCAAGATGTTTATTCGGTCTTCAGAATCAGCTTTGCTCCTTTTTGTCATCACAATTGTTCTTACTCTCAACCTGTTGTGGCTTCAACGAATGAGCATTTACCATTTCCTCTTCAACTCCCACAAAATCTTGCCCAGTGTTGGGTAAATTTGAACTTACACGTTAAAATCTGAATTGAATTGTGCTTTAACTCTGCATTAGAGTAAAGTTCTGTGGCCATTCTTCCATGCTTGTCAGAGATTTACTTATTACCTGTGATTTTCCAGGTGCTGGGTAGGTAATAATGGACAACACAGACAATGGTCCTGCCTTCCTGGGGCTGCTAGGCAAAGGCCACTGGCAATGAGCCAGCAAACTCACATGTATACAGTTACAAAGTGTGGGAGAGATCTGAGCATGTAGAGAGACAAACAGGGGGTGTCTTTAGATAAGGTAAGGGTTCCTGAGCAGGTCTGATGTCCTAGTTAGGCCGTCACTGGAAATTTGTGAAGGAGCAAACTAAGCAAAGAGTACATGAAGCTGCTTTTTGGCAGAAGTAAGAAAACACCAAGGCCCAATGGAGAAAGCCCATGGTATGCTCCAGACACTGAAGGGACAGTGTGGCTGGGGCACAGGAAACTAACTCTGCATGGCAGGGGGTGGTGATGGTGGTAAGAAGGCAAGGAAAGGCAGGCAGGGCAGATGAAACAGTCTGTATGGACTCTGTTAAGAGTCATTGGGTTTTCTTCTGAGATAGGAAGACATGAAGGACCTTTAGCAAGTGAGTTAAATTGCACCATGGATGTTTTAAAGAGCTTACTGATTTTTGGAGAAGGGGGTGGAGGGGTAAGAATTGCTGCACGGAAAATGGACAGATGTATAGAAGAGAGATGATGGTTGCTTGACCCATGGTGGTGCTAAAGGGGAGAATGGATGGTCCTGGGATGTATTCAGGCAGACCAGTTATTTACGGCACCAGGTGATGTACAACATGGTGGGGGAGGAGGTATCTGGGGGTCTGGGATGACTGCCATGTTTCTGGCAGCAGCATCTAGGGCAAGAGTCTTTTGCTAAAGTCAAGAAGAAATACTACAGAGAAACATGTCTTTGGGGTGGGGTGGAGTGGGGTGGAGGGAATCTCTGTTCCTTTGGGTACTGTGCCCTAGCCACTAGTTATGACAGTAGGGTGCAGGGCTGAAGGGCCCCTGGGTATTTGGGAAGGATGAGACACCATTTCTGCCAATGCCCTCTTCCCACACTCCTTGAACCTGACAGAGAAATAGGAAGATATGTCTCCTGGTTGCTCCTTTTAGGCACTGTCCTCTGCCCCTATTTAAAAAAACTGCCAGTAGAATCCTGGAGGCCTTCTAATAGCCTCAGAGTGAAAAGAAAGTGTGCTTCCACAATAAAGCATCAAGTGAAGAACAGGTTTAGAGGTGAACCTGAGTTCGAATTCCCCCTCTGATAGTTACTGGTTATTAACTTCTTGGAATCAGACCAGCACAGTTTGCTCTGAGGAGGATCAACTGTTAGAATAGAGGGATATCTTTATCCAGATGCATTCTGCAAATTCTGAGCTCCAAATCTCCTCACTTCCACTTAAGAAGGTCTTGTCATCTGGAGGGCAGCAGAAAGGGGAAAGGGGTGGTCTCCATGTGGATTTGTGTGCTACACCACATCAGTCTCAGCTTAACCGAAGCAGTCTCCAGGAACAGCTTCTTACTTGTAGACGCACTACGCTGAGAAGGCTTGAAGAAGGCAGGGGATCAAGGCAAAGGGCTGGACGTTTCAAGGGACAAAATGGACAGAGACAGAGTGGGTTTGTGCACCTTCTTCTCTTTCTCTCCCATCCTTGAGCAATAGCACTGCTGGCAGCCCAGGTGAGCATCCAATCAAGAACCTCTCCAGACCATCAGCCTTGCTCCTCACTGTTGCCTGCTCTCCGGGAAGCTCCATTGCCTCATTAGCAGATCTGTACTCTCTGTTCCTTCTTTCCCATCTCTTAAATAGCTTTAAAAACATAATATTCTTAGCCTAGGCGAGGCCATAGAAAACATCTTTCCCGCCCACCCCTCCTCCCATACACTGAATAACAAGTTAGTTTCAGTGTGATGCAGAAAATGCAAGGGACCAAATCTGACACCTGCCAGGGGCTCTTTACTCCTGCCTATCCAGGACCTCAGAGAGACCTTCCTGAGGCCCCTAGACCTGGGGCAGGGGGCGGGGGGTGGGGGGGCAGGTATAATGACTCAGAAAGGACATGCCTATGTGCTCTCATTGTATGCTGCTGCTTTCTCTTACAGTCCTCCCGACCCCTTGACTTCTGCAATCTAGCCCTTTCAGAGAAAAAGAAAACAAATTCTGAGAAGCTCAAGGCTCCAATATCATTCTTATTTGCTTCCAAAGCACTTCCTGCCTCGCTCTATTTCCGGTAACAACTTCCATTGGATTTCAGAGCTCAGGAGCAGCCACTAAAGAATTCTCTGAGATTTAGAACTGATTTCACATTGATGGCTCAGGAGACACCACAGATATTGACATTCGTGGCTGCTTTGGGCCCCTCACTGTCAGCAGAGCAAGACTCACATGAAAAATCTGCAACACTGGCTCCTGGCAAAGAAAATAACCTTACTTGTGGTACTGTCTTTGAATTATAGAGGTAACACTTTTTCATTCCAGAAACTTTATTAAAACAAAGTACCTCCTGTATACTGACTGAACTAAGTATAAATAATTCTGCGATACGAGCTTGACCCTGAAAGTGTCTTCAATCAAGTTGAAAAGACTAAATAAACAACCAAAACTATAGGCAATTGCTTAAAGGACAGGACTGTGGTTATGCAACTCTGAATCCCTGGTGCCCATTATCTTGCCTGGCACATTCTAAAGGTGCAGCCTACTTAAAGAAAGATACAGCCTATGTTAAATACTGGCGTAAGTAAGGAGGAAGGTGGTGCTGGAGAGTGGGTTTGTCAGGGAAAGCTTTGCAGAGGAGCTGGACTTCAGGTGGGATTGGAAAGGTAGGTGGATGCATTTTTTAAAATATTGCTATAGAGAGGAACCTGAAGCAAGGAGACCTGAGCCCTGGTTCAGAGTGGTGACCTCCTCCAAAGACCTCACTATGAGGCTCTGCCTGTGACATAGCAACAGGGAGGAACAACAGCCATAAAAGGCACAATTGTCCTGGCTTCTTGCCATCTTCATCACACCAGGGACAGAGTATATGGGGCCTGGGGTGGGATCTGGCCAGCAGAATTTCCCTTAGACACCCAAAGAGGCCCTCCCTGACCATTTTAAGTCAGGCCACTTTCTCCCCAGACGTTCTGTTCCCAGTTTTTAAATGGTCATCCTGGGCTTTTGGAGAAAAATTCTGCACCTGGGGAGGATGCTACAGAGGGAGAGACTCTTCCTAAGGGGCAGGCAACACAGCCTCGGCATGGACGCCATCTCTGAGTACTGCCCTTTTTGTGCTTCTAGGGAGAGGCTGTCTGATTCTTGGTGGCAGCCAACCTGGCTATTGATGAGGTGCTGGTGAGTGATGTTTGGGCCACAAGCCCAGAAGCCATGCGGCCTCCATGTGCCTCTCCCATGGGGCTTCATTGTCTCCTTCCAAAGCTCCAATTTGTCCCAGGGGCAGCACTAGACCCAAACAGAGCTCTCAGGCAGATGAGGGGTGTCTGCAGTGGCCTCCTCAATGCTACTACATTAACCCAAGCACCAGATCACTCCATAAACTCACACTTTCCAGTCCCTCACTCCTGTCTCCCTTGCTCCACAAGGCTTTCCTACCAAAAGTTTCCTGTTTGGAGTCCAGACATTTAGGACCCTGCTCTGAGGTGCATATTAAAAGAATCAGTGTTACCTTTCTATTAAGATGTCTTGGAGTCCTGGAAGTATCACACTGGAATCCAAAGACACTTAGCCCAATCCAATGTATGTACATTGTGGGAAGAATAATAGTGTTTCTAAACTAGCCCTGGGCAAACCAGAGAAGATGGGGGCAGGGAACCTTTGAGTAGCATCCTTGTAAACATAAACCCACAAATAATGGCTCTCAGTTCTACCCACACATGGAGCCCCCGTGATTTGTGTGTGTATTCTCATTTGGTGCTTCTAAGCAAGGAGGTGTGACTCACTCTGGGGCATAGTGAGCAAGTTTTCACAGGCTTCCAGACTTGCCTGGCTCTTTTCCTGACCTCAGAGGAATCAGGTCACACGAAGACTTCTTTAAACTCTCCTGTATTCCTTGGGAACATGACTCCATCAGGCCTGTGGCCCCTGGGTTGTCAGTTAGATCATTTTTAATAAGAATGTGCTCGCTACCTCCCAGCTGGGACACACAAAATCATGGAAATACATGTGCCATTGATTTTATAAACCAGAAAGCTTTCTTGTTCAGGCTCCACAATTTTCTGAACTCTGGTCCATATGGGTTTTGCATAACCCTCTGGATTGAGAAGCAAAATAGAAAGAAGCCAAGCTCTGGCTCTAGTCTTGGCTTGGTACCCAGAAGTTGTGCAGCCCCAGGCAAATCACTACACATCTCTGAGTTTCTCCTTGGTAAAAAGGAGAGGTTGAACTAGATTAGGGTTCCCGGAAGTTTGTTTTTTAGACCGTAAATCCCAAAAGACTCTGTGAGCAAGGTGGATTTGCTGCCTCTCTGGTCTCCTTCTAGGAGATTCATGGTTAATATTAGCTTATTAAAGGGTATGAGGACTATTAAAGACTCTTGCCCAATGCAGTTTAACCTGGTATTTCCCAAATTTCATGGATGGTGAAACTCTTGCCTTTCCTAACACCCATTAGCAGCCAGAGATCTGGAGTTGTTCAAAGCATACTTTGGAAAATGCACACAAGGCCATTTCTAATGCTTTGTGATTCTTCATTTTTTTGAGGAATGTATGAAATTTCCAACAGTCCACTGCCACCAGTCACAGACCTGCCCTCTTCATGGTGTCACAGGCATGTGGCTGGGTCTATGCAGCTGTCAGAACTCACTTCCAGCTCATAGGTTGCAACCCCATGGCTCATTAGTCATCTGGAACCCAGACCCAGACCCAAAAGTTTCCTGGAGACTTCCGCTGGAGAGAAACTCCAAGGACTGTTTCCTCCATTCCCTAGCCCTCTTGCCACTCTGCATGTCAGTTTGTGTTCACAAAATAACTGAGGAAGAAGGCTTTTCAGTTGCGCCTGAGGTTTATTTTAGGTGCAAACCCACATTTCCACATTTAAGTTTAACCAAATCACTTCTGGTGGTGACAAGCCAGAATTCATGTGTTGCTTAAGGTTTATCATGTGCTTTTCATAGAGGAAATGACGAGCATTCTCCAGAGCACCCCAGGGTGGCTGATGTATAGGAGACAATGGAGACAGCAGGGTATGCCACTTCTTCAACACATTGGGCCTCAGTATTCTCATCTGCTGGATGGGAATAATGCTCCTTGCTCTATTTCTCAGCATTCTTTTTGAGGTCTAATGCATCAAGGAACATGAAAGCATTTTGCAACCTCCACAGTGCTATGCAGTGGACCCATGCTATAGGCACATGAACTAAACATCAGGCACTGGGGAAAGAGCAAGAAAAGCAGATAAGGATTCTATCTATCTATATATCTATTTATCTATCTATCATCTGTCCATCTATGTATCCGATCCATCCACCCATCCATCCATCTATCTACCTACCTATGTTTTTGTTGGTACTGGGGTTTGAACTTAGGGCCTTGCACTTGCTAGACAGGCACTCTTCCATGTGAACCGTACAACTAGCCCTATTTTTTTTTTCAGTACTTGGGACTAAACCCAAGGCCTTGTACTTACTAAGCAAGTGCTCCACACATGGGCTACACCACTCAGTCCTTTTGTTTTTGAGATAGGGTCTCCATAACTTTGCCCAGGCTGGCCTCAAACTCACCGTCCTCCTTCTGTCTCCTGAATAGCTGGGATTACAAGTGTGCACTACCCTGCAAAAATCATTTCAACAGGGGTGAGCATGACAGGAAATGGGAGTCTGTGGTTCCCTGAGCTTACCCCAGTTCCCACATGTCTCACACAGGGTAAGCATTTCATCTCACTGAGATGCTAAAGCATTGGAAGATACATTATTTTCCTACACCATGGCCTTGAATGCAATCACTTTGGTCTTCAACTGAGGAACCACAGATCTGTGGTGACACAGGAGTCAGCTTTGCCATGGGCGTGAGCTAGTCTCCTCTCCATTGGGGGCAACTTTCTGAGTCCTTAGGGGTAATGCTGACTCTATGACACACCCTCTCATGCAAAAAGTGCCTCCTCTAACAGACATGTGGCTCATTCATTACTATAAATGTCCCAGTCGGGCACTCCACTGTGGCTCCCAGAAGGAGAGAGCTAGGATCTGTACCCTGTAGGCAGTGAAGAGGGAGGGAGAGCCAGGCTGAACTAAGGCCGCTGCATCAAGAAGCTCGGAGTTACCAGCCTTCCCTCTGGGGACAGGGCTTGACACTTAACCACAGGTTGTCCAGCCCTCTGGCCCCCACTGGCTTGTTTTCTTGCTGGCAGCTGCTCAGCGTGGGTCCCCTAGCCACTGACCATGGCAGCGCGCCTGCAGTTGTACAGCCAGGCACAAAGCCTGTTTGCAGACTCAGCCGCTCCTCCTCTCATTCATGCTGCAGCTCATTCACTCTGCTGGCTCTGGCAGGCTGCGGCTGGGTGCCGTCACTCGTCACTCGCACGCACTCCGTGTGGCAATTTATTTCTGGCCGGGTGTGCGTGTGTATGGGGGAGAGGGAGATAGGGAGGCGTTCTCTTTTTAGAAGGGGATACTTTTTCTCTTCCGGCCTGAATTGCTCCCAGGCCTTGTAGTCTAAGCGGCTGTGGACTGAGCATTGCAGGGGGAGGAGGCACTTTGCACCCATGATTTTGTTTAATGCCTCACCGCTACCTTTCCAACTAACACCGTTGTATAGGTCACGGATGAAAATGTTCAGAAAAAGAAAAGCCCAAATCAAACAGATAGTAAGTGATTGAGCAGGGCTCGGAGCCCCAGCTCCTCAACTCCTACAATCGTTCTCATTGTCACTATACCAGGTAACCTGTTGCCTCTTTCCTGGAGACGGTTGCTGGGATGTCACTCATCTCCACCTTCCTCCTTATGATGCTATCATGCAACCCAACATCTGACTGCTTTCCCTGGAACACGTGGCTTGAATGATCTGGAAAAGCTGAGTCCCTGCAGCACTCAGATACCTCGGTATTGAGACCAGAAACCATATCTCCTGCCAGAGCCTCAACTGGCTCCAGATCAAACCCTTTCTTACTGGTACCTCAGGCTTTTCCCAAAGTTTTGCCCCATGTTTTTAAAGAGTATTCTTCACACACACACACACACACACACACACACACACACACACCAGAGTCCCATGGAAATATCACTGACTTTATCAGAGGTTCAGGACTCAAAGGTTACCCCCAAGTGCATACCTCCAGACAAACTATTTAACCTCTTTGAGAGCCAGAGATCACATCCCCACAAGAGTTTACTACCTAATGGGATTGTCCTCAAAATAATGAGTTAAGAGCACATTATCACCTGTGAAGTGTGTCCCATACAGGTATTACTAAGCAATTTGTGTCATGGCCTGTTTTCATATGTGGGATTCATTTTTGGCCCTGGTTATGCTCTGTCGATAAGAATGTCAGGGGCTCTGTTCTGTCTTTGGTCTGATCTGGAAAAAAAAAATCATCTCTTTACCCAAGACGGAACCTGCTTGATCCTATTGGTCATTTGAAGAGATTTTCCTCATGAAAAATGTTATCTGCTTCCCGAGCAGAAGGCTGACCAGGCACACACTGCAGCCACCTCCGCGAGCCTCAGGGTTAAGGTTTGTGCGTCAAAGTTACGTGCAGCTAAGGGGCCACAGTGCGGGGGCGGTAGGGGTGGTGAATCCAGACCTCCTCTTCACATCTTTACCAGGAAATTAAACCAGGAAAGTTTAAAGACTCCCAGGAGGCCAGATGCGCCCCTGGGGAAGGTGAAGGCGCTGACTTGTGACTGACAGCGTAGCGCGCCTGTGTTCTGCATGGGAACGCAGCAGCCAGCCGGGGCAGGGGGCCTGGAGCCTGTGCGGGGACCCAGCCCGGCCTGGGGGCCTGAGGCTGACCCTCCTCCCGGGGGTGTGCAGAGCCACGGGCTGTTTACAATCTCCGCTTAGCCCACAGCGTCTAACCCTCCCAACAACTCACAGAGGTAGGCGGAGCGGGCATTTCCCCATTTGACAGATGGGGTCAAAGAGGTTAGGAGATGAAGGGTGAGCAGGAGAAAGGAGCGTTAAGGGAGGGAGGTCTTGACACCCCGCGGAGGGACCGAACCCCTCCCCAGCACTGAGCCAGGAGCATAGACATATACTGTCCCCACGTCCTTACCCAGAAGTCAGAAGGTTCCCACTGGACCCAGCCAAGGAGTGATGGTCAGATGGCTCTCCAGGGAGGTCCCACCCCGGCCCCCATTCAGACTTCTTTTCCATGCAGCTACAACTTACCCTTGAGACCACAAGAGTCCGTGAACATTGGAACTGAGGCTGAAATGAATTCCCAAGTCTCACCCAAAAGTGGCTCTTCAACCCACTCTTATGCTCTGCGTGCCCCTTCCTCCCATAGGCAAGGTAATTCCCCCCGTCCACCCCCTAAGCTGAGAACAGAAGCAGGTTCATCTCACCCAGGGACTCGGAAGAATTGTGCTGGGCGGCGCTCCCACTCCTGCTCCTACAGGTCTGCGGGATTAGCGGCTCCAGCTCTTTCACAATAAACCCAATTAAAGGGGAGGAATGCAGGGGTTTTCTTTCCCAGGACCGTAACCAGGCAGCCTTAAAGGGGAGTAAAAGTAGCTAGGGAGGCTTGTATCTCTCCTTCCTTTCCTCCTCTCTGCTTTCCCTCCCTCCCATTGAGCTGTGTCAGAAAAATGCTTGTTTGAAGGAGCCCTTTTATGCTGAGGAGTGTGCGGGTTTGTGTATGTGTGTGTGTGTGTGTGTGTGTGTGTGTGTGTGTGTGATTATATGTATGATTGTGTGTATAATTGTGCTTTGCATTCATGTGTGTAATGGAAAGACATAAGGGAAGAATGAAAACCAAAAATAAAATGTCCAATTGTAGCTTTACTGTGGCCTGAATGGGATGGTAACACAAAATCAGAGAAGTTTTCTAGGACTGCCTGCCTCAGTTCCCCCTTTTAACCATTCAATTGCTGAAGTATGTTGTCTAAAAACACCTCCTCCAGTGATAAGATGTCTACATTTGCTGGCTGAAGCCCCTCAGTGTGCACCTAACCCATTCTCTTTTCCAGAATGGGGAGAGATGCCCTTGGATGTCCTACAGAAAGCCCCTAGATTGGATGGCCCCACTTGATATCTCTGATGTAGCTCCCTTCCTTCAGAAGCTTAGCATTTTGACTCCCATCTCTACCAGACTGTCCTCAACTCTGACCCATGAGACCCTAAGAGACCACGCCTCTGCTGGAAATTATGGAAATTCTGTTCCCTTTCTTCCCTTCGCTTCATTTCTCTGCCCTGTCCCTTGACCAGGATGTCACAGTCTTTATTTTAGCTTCTCTTGGGCTGGGCTGCCTCTTCAGTGCAGGTTCCTTAAAGACTTTGACTTCCATTCTGCTCTCTCCTTCTCTAACCTCTGCTTAATGATCTCCATGCACAGAGCCTGTAGCCAACTTCCTGAGAAACTCCCAAACCAATGCCCCTATCTGGGTTGTCATCCCAACCCCTGACATCCAAATGTCCACTTTCATGGTCAAACTAGCCTGAGTGTGTTATAGCTTTCTTCAAACTCACTCTCCTCCTGGGTTTTTTTATGCTAGGTTAATGGGCTTCCATCTTCCCCCAGGCTCATCAGGAACCCCAGTCTTTTCTTTGTCTGTGTTGTCTATACACTTTCATTTGTCCCTTTGAATTCACTTTTAAATTGTGCCTTTTATTTGATATCATCTTTTCTGAATAAATAACATTCATCTAACTCAACAATAAGAACTGTACTAAAAAACATACATCGAGGTGTGTCATCCCACTGCAATACCCGTTTTCCTCTTGCACCTGACTTTGTCCTCTATAGATGGCCACTTTTATTAGTTTCTTGTGTTTCCTGGTTTTTCTTTGTGTGAATGCAAGCAAATAAGAACATGTGTATCTCTCCCTTTCTTACACAGGAGGCAGTGAGGAAATTCTGTCTTTTATATTTTCATCTCTGCAATCTTCCATCAGCATCTCATCCTCTTTGCAGGTACTATTGGGATAGGATAGGCTCTCCTAGTGCTGCAGTAGGATGGTTTATGTGGCTCTGGAAGAAGACTTCTGGGTTGGACTCCTAAGTCTTCCATTGGCTGGATATGTGGTCTTGGGTAGATGACTTAATCTCTCTCTGCCTCAGTGCTCTGTCTATAACATGGGATAATTATTGAACTTATTTTATACACTGGTAGGGTAAAATGAAACAGAATGCAAGTTGTTTAGAATAGTCACTGGCACAAGGCAAGCAATCAATAAATTTTGGCTATGACCATTATCTCTCTACTATGGTCCAACAATTACATCCCCAAACTCGTATGTTGATACATAATTACCAGTATAATGGTGGCAAAAGGTTTAGTCCTTGAGAGATGATCAGATAATGAGGGTAAAGCCCTCATGAACGGAAATAGTGTCTAGAGAGCTGCCTTGCTTCTTCCACCATGTGAGGACACTTTCATAAACCAAAAAGTGGGCCTTCTCTGGCACTGAATCTGCCGGTGCCTTGGTCTTGGACTGCCAGACCCCAGAGCTGGGACAAATTATTCCTATTGTTTATGAGCCACCCAGCTTATGGTATTTTGTTATAGCAGCTCAAACAGACTATGACGCTTTCCAATTAAACTTTCATTCTTGCTAAAATTATCTCAATAAAGGACATTGCTTTACTTCAAAAACTCACCTACAGGATAAAATCTAAACACTGTAGCCAATCTCTGAAGAATTCTAGAATCTGGCACAAAACTACTCTTCTTCCCCAATATCTTTTCTTCTATCCATCTGACAATCCAGCCATGCCATATGAGACACTGACTTCCAACATGTTACTGCAAAGCTCCTGACTTTTGCTCATCCTGATTTCTTGTCTTTCCCCAGTTTGCCTGTGGAAATTTCATACATTTTAAAAATCCACATGAAACACAACTTGATTCAGGAAGCTCTGATTCCTCCTGCTTCCCTTCCTCTGGGATGTTCCCCAAACTCATTGTCTACAACTTTCCTTAGCTCTTCATCTTTTTCTGCCTTAAAACTTAGTTTGCTTCCACTTCTATCTTACCACTTGAATTGAGAGTTCTCTAACAAAGGAATTTGGCCTGAATTTCCTGCCTATTCTTCTCCTTTCCTCAGGCCTCCTCCGGTGCCTGGCTCTGTGAATGTATATTGGACCTGATAGGCTCATCAACCCTCAGCAATGGAAAGGCCTTTGACAGTCATTGTAAGTAAATAAGATATAATTTGCTAGTGATTGGTGCACATGGTCAGTACTCAATAAATGCCAACCTTTTTTAATGTTGATAACAAGAATAATAGCATATTATTGTTACTAGTCTAACTTTGCACTTACTACGCACATTCTCTGGGCAGAGCATCCCTGACTAGTCTCCAACCTTCTCTGACTTGAACACTCTGGAGCTGGGGGTTATCACAGTCTGAGACAGCCAAATCATGCATGCCCGTGGGCATTGACACATCTTACAAAGATTATCTCCACAAGAGTTAGATTCTGCCTCTCTGATGTCTTCCCTACAGACATACACTCAGTCCTTAGAATATTTTTCAAGTGCTGACTGTGTACTAGGCATTGGGAATATGAAACCAGACCCAGATCCTACGTTCATAGACTTTCTACTGTCCAAGTCCCTGAATCATCCCATTCTGCACTTTGTAACATGCTCTGATGAAAGGGTGAATTGAGCAGGAGTCATCTGTTACCATCAGTCCACCAGAATCTTCCTCCTTCTTCCTTCTCCCTCCAATCCACCTGCATGTTATTGGTTTTGGTGAGTCACAGGGCCAGAGATGAACTCTCTGTGAGGGAAACAGAAATAGCTTCAGAAGTTTTGGGCACTGGAGGAAAAAGCATTACCTCCTTATGCTGAGGTCAGAAGCCAGGACTCCCCACAAACACTGATGGGCCATAAACCAATCATCAGTGGCCCAGAGTGGGGCAGAACATCCACTGTCCAAGTACTGGTGTGAGGAGAAAAATTAAGAAATGTTTCTTCAGGAGGTAGAAGAGAGCTTTTGGCCTCAAAACACATGCACACATATACACACACAAACACATACATGCACATCACACCTGCGGTTGTAGTTTTGTCTAGTTCATATTCATGACCTTATCTCTAACTTTCCCACAATCAGCAATTCAAAGGGCTCAAGAGGTATAGTGGCTTAAGTGATGGTGTGCCTGCATAGCAAGCATGAGACCCGAGTTCAAACCCTAGTGCCACCAATAAACAAACAAAACAAAAACACAATTCAATCAAATATTTATTAAAAATCAACAATGTGCCCAGGAGATAAGGTAAGACTAAAACATTGAAAACAATTGGTGACTAAGTCATAGCTAAATAAGGTATTGTTCCCCTGCAATGGGACTAGGGGGAGATTTCTGTGGGCTGGAGATACCAGGAATGATTTCATAGAAGAGATGGAATTTAGTCTGCAGTTTAAGGATGAGAAAGACCAGGTTTGGGAGGTGTCAGTGGTGGTGGTGGGTATTAGGGAAAACAAGGAGGTTAAAATATACAAAACCATTGCTGAAATGGTGAGGCAGCCTTGCAAGTGTAGGAGGCAAGGCTGGATGGACAGGGAGTGAGTGAGTCAGCAGCCTGGGTGAAGGCTTTGGGCTTGGCTCAGGAGTCTGTAAGGAAGGGAATCTAGGAAATCAATGGCGGTATGACTGAAATGGGGGAAAATTCGAGACTGGAAAGTCAGTAGCAAGGCTTTTTAGGTTGCCAACACCTGAGGGGATGAGGGTCTAAATTGAGGTGGTAGCGGGAGTGAAGAAGAGAAAAGCATGACTTTCAGGAGTTGCCAGGGTCTTTGAGGGAGCATAGTCCCCTCAACCAGAACAATGGTGAGTCTGAGCTTATCAAGTCCTTTGATTCACAGGTGACACTGGCAAAAGAAGTGGCCATGTTAGAACTAGTTACTCACCTCCATGGCTCCCATCTGGTTCTGCTTACCCCTCCAGGCAAACAAAATAAGGGGTCCTGTTAGAGTTTAGTGTAAGAAAGAGAAAAGAAAAGCATGGTTATGCAGACAAAACAATTCTTCCTGTGTTTTCAAAATCCTATCTGACCTTGGTTCTACATTGTCTTTTACTCTTAATTAGATCTCTACATTGTACTTTGTGGACAGCCAATAACAAGACATGATGACCTGCCAGGAAGGAAAAGGGAAATGTAAGTGAAGAAGTAGAAAGAAGAATTAGCCGGATGAAAAGTCAGAGAAACAAAAGAGCAGCATGTGCCATGACCCTAAAGCAGAAAGGAGCCATGCTACTGAAGAGATAGAAGTGCAGGGAGAGCAGAGGGTACAGTAGCCCCAAATGCAGCTGGT